AGATTCTAGTTGTTTTTATTTTTTAAGAGATAAATAAAAAATATGATTAAACTCATTATCACGATGGTATATAATAACTTAGAATTAATTTTTATAAAAAAATTTTGGATAAGTACTTTTCTCTATCTAATATTACAAAGTTAAAAAATGGCATAACCTGATTTACGAACTTGGAAGAGGTAAAAAGACCTATTAAGAAAAAACACACATCATGCTTTATTTAATTGATTAATATTTCAAAATTATTGATACATCACAAAAAAATCATCTTAATCAGGCATAAATCTTAATGCAAATATGAATTGGAAACTTCCAAAATTAAATTGGGACCATCCAAACATTGATTTTAACATAACACTCTCAAAATCTATAAATAGACCCTCTCTTCCCACATGAAAAGGGGCTTCAACTTTTGGAGGTTTAGACCCTACTCAAGAGAGCTCTGAAGCTTGAAGTATCATGGAGCTCCACCTCGGCACCACCGCCAGAAAACCCTCGCCACCACGCCATCACTGTTGGACCTCCTCTTGGCCGCCGTCTGCTATCGGACCTCCACCAGACAACCGACTACTGTTAGATCACCGCCCAACCACCGATTGATGTCAGACCTCCGCCCAGCCTCCGACCTTTGTTGGACCTTCTCCTGGCCACTGCTACTAGAATTTCAACCTCCATTGTATGGCCACAGTCATTACTAACTTCTGAGTTTGACCAACTCTCCAAACTATTATAATTTCTCCGTCTCCAAGTTAAGGGATGGGTCAACCTTTTTAACTCACTCAAGTATAATGGAATCTTCTCACCTAAGCAAGGCCTAGTGATTTTTCCTTTTTTGGATTTTCCACGTAAACAATTTTTAGGTGTTTTCTTTCTCCCTCAACTATAAAAAACTCGGTACAACTCAGTATTTGCTCAGGATTTGCTCGGTATTGCTAGGGATTTGCTCGGTATTGCTAATTATTGCTAGAAAAAACTAGGTACAACTCGGTATTTGCTAGATATTTAAAATATATCCAAAAGGTGATGGAATGTTGTTCGGCTCGTCAAGGAATTAAAAAAACGCACGCGCTAGAACCCAAAAAACAGCGGGTCGGGTCGATGACTTTTTTTCGTGCTAAGTGGCGCTAAAAGGTTGGTGGCCGAACGTAGAGGAGCGTACGTTCACCGAACCAAATAAAAGTTCGTGCTAGAGACAAGAGAGCTCTGAGGCTTGAAGTATCATGGAGCTCCACCTTGGCACCACCGCGAAAAAACCCTCGCCACCACGCCATCGCTGTTGGACCTCCTCCTGGCCGCCGACTGCTATCGGACCTCCGCCAGACAACCGACTACTATTAGATCACCGCCCAACCACCGATTGATGTCAGACCTCCGCCCAGCCTCCGACCTTTGTTGGACTTTCTCCCGGCCACTGCTACTAGAATTTCAACCTCCATTGTCTGGCCACAGTCATTACAAACTCCCGAGTACCAATACGAAGTTCGACCAACTCCCCAAACTATTATAATTTCTCTGTCTCCAAGTTAAGGGATGGGTCAAACTTTTTAACTCACTCAAGTATAATGGAATCTTCTCACCTAAGCAAGGCCTAGTGATTTTTCCTTTTTTGGATTTTCCACGTAAACAATTTTTAGGTGTTTTCTTTCTCCCTCAACTATTATTTTGTGTGCTAGATATTCGTGCATCCCCAATATGGAAAACTTTCTCAGTCTACTACTATGAATTTATCAGTATGTAAAACTTATAAAGTGAGTTAGTTGATCCATTAAGAACAACCATAGATGATGCAGTAAGAGGTTAATTGAGGTTTAAATCATTTGAAGAGACCTATGCATTCTAATTATGTAAAGTTTATGAAATATATATTATCTAAAAGAAAAAAAAAAACCATGAGAGTTAGAAAATTGTAGCTCTTAGTGAGGAATGCATTACCATAATTCAAATAAAACTTATGCAAAATTAAAAGGTCCGCATAGTTTCACAATTCCAGGCACCATTGGGGAAAAAAGTTGTTTATGTGACTTAGGAGCTAGCAAAAACTTGATACGCTATCAATATTTAACAAATTGGTGTTAGGTGGATCTCAACCTATATAAATAACTCTTTAGTAGACTGATAGGCCATTAACTTATCATAATAGAGTTCACTACATGAAATTTGCTTATTACCGGCGGTTTATTAGTAAATACCGGAGGTTATGAATAAAACTGGCGGCTTTTCGGCGGTTGGAACACCGCTGTAGAAAACGGCGTCGGAAACCGTTGCCGGCGGCGTTTTTTCGGCGGTTTATTTCCCCGACGGCATAAACCGCCGATTATCGCCGGTGTTGTTACCAGCGGCTTCTCGGTCGTCCAACCGCCGGTACAAATTCCCTTCGTTCGACCGCCGGTAGCCCGCCGGAAACGTACCGGCGGCTAACCGGCGGTCATAGCCAAAGGCATTGCCGACGGTTGTTGCAGCCGGCGTGTCGCCGAACAACCGCCGGTAAAATACCGGCGGTTATAAGAACTTTCCGGCGGCGTCAATCAGCCGTCCGGTATCTTCATTGTTAAAGAAGATATTTTGATAAAAAATAGATAAATTTATATATCTTCCTTGTTGATTTATTATACTTGATATGAAGGAAGATAAAGAAATAACAACCATCTAAGAAAAAAAACTGTTTGTCTACAAGAAGAACCATGATAGATGTTGTAAAAGGAGTGGCTTACGATGAGGGTTTAAGATCAAGAAGGTACCTTTAATATTTTAAAAACAATTCAATTTTCAAATGAAAATAATAATGGATGCTAAAGAGTAGACGCAACAAAAGAATGTGTGCAAGGGAAAATGAAGAATAATTTAAATATAAATTCATAAGAATAAGCTTTAAGAAATGGTAAAATTTGAAAAAAATGAAATTAAATTGATTACATTTCAAGAAGCTACACCAAACTTTTTTTAAGGAAAATTATGAAGTATGAGATACATCTTCTATAGGGCAACACAAGAAGTCATATGTCATAAAAGCACTTAAATAGGAATTGAAAATATTTTCTAGTTTTATTGGGTACATTTTTATGGGAAATTCTCTAAGGTCTACTGTAATTTGTCCTCTTAGTCAATATTCAACCTATGTCTATAAGGTACCTTTAGATAAAGCAACTCATGATTACCAATGAGTATCCTTTGGTTAGGTTGGATTGACTATCTCCTTTGACTAAATAAACTAGGGACCTTGATAATTCAGGATGAAAGAATCGTGGGATATTGATTGAGTTTGTCATAATTTCCTTCACCATGTACTTTAAGTGTACAACAACATCAAGCCTTTATCCCACTATGTGGGGTCGGCTACATGAATCCTTTTTCTCCATTGTGTCCTATTAAAAGTCAAATTCTCATTTAAATCTAACAAAGAAAGGTTATTCCTAATATTTTCTAACCAAGTCTTTTTAGGTCTACCTCTACCTTTCTTAACATAAGTCAAATCTAATACCTCTACTCTCCTAACCGGGTGATCGGAAGGCCGCCGTTTTATGTGACCAAACCATCTAAGGCGACTCTCTCTAATCTTATCTTCTACTGGAGCTACTCCAACCTTTTCACATATATGCTCATTTCGTATCCTATCTCTAAGGGTAAAGCCACTCATCCACCTGAGCATTCTCATCTCTGCCACACTTAACTTAGTATTATGCTTCTCTTTTAATGGCCAACATTCGGCACCATAAAGCATTGCAGGCCTCACTACCATCTTATAGAATTTTCCCTTAAGTTTGAGGGGTACATTTCTATCACATAATAAGCCTGATGCATTCCTCCACTTCAACCATCCAACTTGAATTCTGTTGATAATATCTCCATTTATTTCACCATCTCTCTGAACAATAGATCCAAGATATCTAAAATGTGTACTCTTATTAATGACTTGATCGCTCAAAGTCACAATCCCCTTACTAGGTCTATTACTACTAAAATTACACTCCATAATACTTTAAGTGTAAGGTTGTAAATTTTAAATCTTAAGCATTAAATTTGTTGCTATTATACATTATGTACTTAGTGTCTATAAAGTGCTCTCCCATCATCTTGAGGGATAGGTAATCATAGAGGCTTTTACATATGATAACCTTAAACTCAAATCATAAAGTCTTCATAAAATAAGAGTGAAATCTCTAGATGTTATTTTATCTTAAAACTAATTTGTCTTTTGAAAGCTTAACCAAAAACATATCTACTAAAACACTTCCAAAATGCAGAGAAGTAGGGGATCAAACTTTCGATGGGGAAAATTATCTTTTCATTTTTCGCTAGTTGTACATAAGTTATAGTATCAATAAAATATAAGATGCTCAAAGTTTAAACATTATAATGCAATGAAATTATTAATGAACTTAAAATTTTGAAGGCAATATTCTAAACTCTTGCAATCATATAAGTTATTTGCTTACATTAGTTGTTCTATAAAGTCTATGTACTTTGAAAGTTTGAGATGATACATCAAATTTTGATCACTAAGCCGAATTTTTTGTTTGTTCAAAATAAATCTATAGAATATCTCTTTTACCATCCAATTGAGATGTGGAGCTAACATCTAGTTGACCAACACTATCATCAACATCTGAGACTGAAGCCACCAATTTAGTAGATTACATATTTCTGTCGCTGTTGTTGGGGCTACCACCATTTCTGTTTATGACATGATTGTCTAAGAACCTATGATAAGACCTTATATTGTTAAAATTTCTACACCATGCACAACTGTGGGTGCAATGAGTGCATCCCGCTAAAAAAATAAATTTAATGAACTTAAAATTTTCAAGGAAAGATTCTAAACTCTTGCAATCATATAAGGTAATTTAAATTTTTTAAAATGATTTTATTATTAAAATCACTTAATAAATTAAAGATTAAAATTGCTCAAATTTTGAATTGAGTCAACCTATAATTAAATTTTGCTTGACTTAGCTTCTCATTTATAAAATTGAATCGGCTAAGTAGGAAGTAATTTTCTATATATCCTCTCCTCTTCCGTACTGTTACCTCTAGTTCTGGGTTTAGCGGCTACTGGTTCTTCTCTAGTTCAAACTCTCGCAGCTCCCACTCGACGATTCAGCAGGCACTTCTCTCTCTCTCTCTCTCTCTCTCTCTCTCGCACAAACATCAACGCCGACGTAGTGAAGCTTCTGGATCAGATGAGCACAGGAACGAGCACCTTCGTGATCCGATGGGTCAATTTTCTCACAATGGTAACCATTTGCTTAGTCTACATTACTCTTTCAGTGTTCAATTCTTTAAAAAAAATCCGCAAACCCTGCAAAATTGATTCTTGATTAGGTTTTCGTGCACATTATTCTCCTCTCAAGTTTAGGGAACCCTAATATCTTAATGCAGTCTAAAAATGGAATGTGAAAGTTTTCCCTAATCGTTTTTATATTATGGGTAGATGAGAGGCCTAATAGTTTCCTTCTTGTCGCATTGGCTACTTAATTGATTCCCGTCTCCCAGTTTCAACGTCGCATTCGTCTATGCAATGGTTTTGTTTCTGCTACGTAAGATTAAAAAGAGAAAAAAATATTAAGTGGGGAAATAAGCTGGAAGAGTGGAATGGATTTTGTGTTCTTTGTCTTGCAGTTTTTCGAGTGTCTGTGAATTTAAAGGGCAGGGAAGTAGGTAATAAAAGAAGATTTTTTATTGTTTCTCTTATGTTTTGTCAAGACCGGAAATTTGTCATGCAGATATTGGGATTAGGAGTTATTTGTTTTGGAATATGGATGAGCACTCACCATGATCAGTGTCACAGAACATTGACACTCCCTGTAATTGGTCTTGGTGCTCTAATACTCCTGATGTAAGATTTATTTCAGGTTACAAGTGTCATATTCAATTTCCACATTCACTTTTTAGATTCTAATCCTCCTCCTCTGGCTGTGGCTCCTCAACTCTTCAGATCCTTGGTTGGATTTCTTGGAGCTTTGAAGAATATTACTCTTTTGCTGTGGGTGGTATCCTTTCAATTCCTTGTTCCTTATGATAACTGCCAATATTAACTTCTCAAAAATATGACTTTAAGGTGATCTTGACGGTGAATTTCAGTACTTGGCAATTATATTCTTGATTTTGGTGGCAATTTTGGTTTTCACCGTGCTGGCGTAAGTTTTCTTGTGCACCCTGAATGATGTTAATTTACTATTTTTCAGTCATGTAGTTCCTTATGGGAGAACTTATTTATGAATGCCTTATGTGTACTAACAGTATGAGGCCATGCCTTTACTATAGAATATGTTGGTTCAGTTGATGTGGTATTTAGATAAGGTTGCTATATTGTCTTGTGGCCATGTAATTTCTCTCGGATATTTAGTTTAATCATCTTTTCGAATTGTTCAAGAGCAAATGCTTTATCGCGTATGGTTAACTTTATCGTGCATCCGTTATCATTGATTGCTAATCTCTCTCTCTCTCTCTCTCTCTCTCTCAATGGTGTTTTGCAAGGAAGGGTGTCTATATGTTCTTCCTTGATTTTTATCCCCTTTTGTTTTCTTTTTTCTTTTTATTATGAATTTGGACCTTTTGTTTATTATTGAGAATTCCTTTTAATTGGTATGCCTTAATCTTCCTTCCTTTAACTTATGATAGCAAGGATTAGAGTAAAGAGAGGAAAGAAAAAAGAAGAATCAAAGAGAGGAAAGTAAGAGCAGGGAAAAAAAAAAAGATTCCTCATTTGAAATCAGAAGTCACCTTGCCTCTCATCTCTTATCTCAGGCTGATTTTATTTTTATTTTTTACGCTTAGATGATATTTTTTCTTCATTTAATATGATTTTCTTTAATGATTTTGCTTTAATTATTTCAGATCTGATTGATCTTTATGAATCATTTGATATGGGCCCCATTAGTTGTTTGGTAGTGCTCGTCTGTGTGGTGGTTTTAGATTGTGATGACTTTGTTATTCTTTTTCTGAAGTTATTATCTTGTCCAAGCTGGCAAATCATCCATGCTTTCTAATAGAATCCTAAAATGTTTACCTTACTTTTTTGTAGGTTTATCATAACAAACAGTGGATCTGGGCATGCTGTGTCTGGAATAAAGTAAATCTACAGTTCTTATTGTAAATGCAATTATTTAAGTGACTCGAATGCATTCTGAAATTAAGATTAAGCTAGTTATGTTGAGGATTTAGGTTATGCTGAATCATCTGCAGCATTCGAAAGCTTTTTGAAGCATATTCCATTTCTGAATATAATTTCAGCAGTCTGGTATCAATTGTCTTCAACATTTTTAATTGATATTTCATATTCCAAGTAATGATATTAATGGCATTCTATTGTCACACCTCGTGTCCAAAGTCGGCACATCCCGACAACACGGGACGTGATGAAGGGATAGAAAGAAAGACCTATTTTATACTCATAAGAAGTAAAGTGTATAAACAAGCAATACAAAATAATATATCATAGTAGGTAATGGAAGAGCAACAGATCTTTCATTTTATTATTATGAATTCAAAATAGTACATCAAATCATTACAATCTGCCACAATCTGCCACAAATTGTAAAATACCAAATATATTCTACTTCTAATTGGTCTGCCCTTGTGATGACGGTCCACTAAGCACACCGATAAGAACTACTATGAACAAAAGTAACCAAGGGTGAGTTTGATAAATTAAACTCAGTAAGTAACCCTTGTATATTAAAGCATAAACAACAAAAGAATGGGGCAGCCAACAATCAATGTATAATTGCAATACTATCACATGCCATGATCCCTACAACGGCTCTCGTATATTGTTATTACAATTATGCATGCCGACCTATACCTAATGCAATGTCAATCCGATTTATATACATATAGCTAGATATCATCATACCACTATATGACCCACCTGTCATTCATTTCTTAACTCATGTCTAATTATATCTATACATTTATATTTAAATAACTATATTCGGTTTTGTCAAATTCCTTGCACCAGGAAGGTAACATCAACTCAAGGAAATCCAATAATTTCTTATATAGTCGTCACTTTGAGAGTCTGTCATCCGGTTAGCCAATATCCAATAGTGCTCTAATGGCCTACACTCCATTGCACACATGCATATAGTTTTCCAAATTTTCATATACATTTTTTAATAGGTGTTACAATTTCAATAGAACGAAGGTTATTTCATATTAGGAGATAATTTACAAATATGATATTTATTGCATTCAATACGAGCATGTGCATAACAATATAAATTAAAAAAAAATGATATACAGGAGTTTGTGCAGTAATAATTCAAGAATATTTTATCTATGAAACTTGCTAGTTCATTATGAGCATAAAATATCTTTAAAAGTGTTTGCAAATAGTCATTAAATTTTGCAATACTAATAGGACTGGCAATTTAATCAATGATCCAAAGTTCTTATAAATACAAATAGCGCACATTACACCACTAACAAAGAAGGGCACATTTATTCAATAATAAATAATAGTTACTTACTTTTACGTGACCAACTTAAAGCTCCAAATCTGTACGATGCTCAACTGATAATTTCACGAGGACAACAACTCAAAAATTCTACAAACAAGAATCATAATTTATTATGCAAAATAACATTGAAAGACTCCAATATTTGAAACATAAAGTTTACACAACCCGAGCTTAAATATGCTTAAATACATATATTGAATATCATTAATCAAACCTAAATAATTGTGGAAAAAAATAATTATGTCGAATGCACTAAATATCCAAGATTCTATAATTTATGAATTAGATTGCAACCTAGAATGAGAGCCTATAACATTTCCTTTTAAGCTGATGACATTCTATTGAAGCATCATCTAGTGGATTTTTTATTGGCCGTATTCATGCTATTACTGCCATTATAACATTTTAGTGCATCCATTTTGTCTTTCACGTGCAAACTGCAATGTAATTTAGTTGATTGTGTAGAGACACAACTAGTCAAGGTTTTTATTTGACTTCATGAGCCATTTCATTACTTTCTCATATTATATTTGGAAAGGAATATTTTCTTTACTATGCTGTATGGATTTTTGTTTGTAGTTATTTTATTTTAATTATTTTTTCCAGGTTCAAAGAGTATCATCTTCAAGATTACAGCGCTTGGTTCTTAAAGCAGGTGAGGACTTTGCACTGTTTCTAATTTTACATTCCTTCTTTTTAGGAGAAAAAAGAAAATTTTGATTAGAATATTCCAACTTAAATTTGATTGGAATACATTTTTGAACTCTTGGATCTGCTTTGAGATAAATGCAATACATGGTCAATCAATCCAACTTTATATTGCACTTATCTCAAAGCAAATTCAATAGTTATAAAATCCAACCTAACAAAATTTGATTCACGATATCCTATCGAAATAATTTTCTTCTTGTTATACTCTAATGTACAAATTCAACATCTGCTTTTATGCATCACTATGCCCATTCAAGCTCAACAATACCAAAAATTGGGACCGCTTGAAGAGCTGCCTTGTGAAATCTGATGACTGTAATAACTTGCCTAACAAGTACAAGGTCTATTCTTTATTTTCTTACCTACATATTTTCTGGTTTATCAAGATTTTTTTCTTAAACATTTTCTGCTCTAATCCAGACCCTTAAGGCATACAAGTCAGCAGAGCTGTCCCCGGTTGAGGCAGGTTGTTGTCGCCCACCCTCAGAGTATGTGCCTTTGCTCTTCTATTCAAGGGAAAGAAGTCAATCCTTCTTAACTTCTTGTTAGATTAGATAGAGCTGTTAAAAATCCATTTGAAGCTGATCCAGTATTGGCACATAATTCGATCGATGCATAATACTTGAGTTGAAATTGAATTGTGGATTGCTATATTTAGTTTGATCTAGCTTAGATGGCTTGATTTGTCTTTGAGACAACTTGAAATCCAAACAGTTATCAGTTATCACAAAGAACAGAGCCAAATATCTTTATTTCATCACCAAAAATATTGTGATAGAGAAACTATTGATTAAGAGATTATGCAACTTATGCAACTGCGTTTCCATCATAATTATGTGATCAATGTAAAAAAAAGCAATATAAAGTAAGCAATATTTAAACTGAGATGATAGTACCATTTGAAATGACAATTTGATATGCTTCTTGCTCTACATTAAGAAGGCTTGAGCACCTTTCGAGTAGGTGCAGACTCCTTAGTGAAAAGAAGGGAAGGGAATAGAGACTAGAAAGGGGGAAACCAGAATTTTATTCATTCCATAATTCTTTCGGTACAATATGAGAGGTATTTATACTACTTGGGTAGGCCAACTGTTCAACATAGGACCGTTTTTCTAAAACAAATCTAAAAATAAAATAAAAGAAGTAAACTAGTGCTTTATGACATATGTGGATTTATTTGTCATTTATGCTTTGTGAAACGTGTTTGTACCTTCTTCTTCTTTGTCCTGTCATATTTGTAGCCCATACTTTGTATCTGATTTTTAGATCCAATCTCATATGCTGATGTCTAACACAATGCAATCACACTTCTACCTCACATGTTGTGAAACTCCTAGCTGAATATGCCAACGTCTTTGTCTATTAACAGTCTTAAATTTGAACACTTTAAAATAAGAATCAAAATACATCCGATAACACTTCAAATGCAATTATTTCTCACAAAGGAAAAAAATATTCCTCAGAGTATGAGCTGTGATGATACCTTACAACCACATTTATGTGGTTTGTCTGATGTACAAAAAACAAAGCGCCAATGCTTACTATTGTTTCTAGAAACAAAGAATAGATTTGAAAAGTAAACCCATGCTATCTCCTTTGAAAGTGGTGCAAACGGTCTCAAAGAAACAAAGTATGGCCCTTCATCTAAATGCCAAGGAAAAGTAGGTGTAAAAGAAAAGATGACTATGAAAATAAAAACTGCAAGGAAAAAAGAGCTTCAAAATAGTAGGACAAAAAATTATGTTGAGTGAGATTGACTCACGTACAACCACGATCACACATAAATATGTTTAGGGAAGAGTACAGTAGGTTTTCTTACATTGTCATTTACGTTATGGAAGCATAATATAGGATCAAATAGCAAAATAAGATACATGAAGGTGGAGATGTCAATATCTTGAGTTGTATTTCTTGATTGTGACAACAAGATATTTTTGTGGCGCTATAAAATTTACCTCAAGCGCTTCTATACTTATTTGTAGCACCATCATACTTGCACTGTCACCACAGTGCTTGCACTAATTCAAACCAATTCACCATGGCTATAAATCAAAGAGCCAAGAGCACGTTTCTCTTTTTCCACACGCTTTATTTTCATTTTTTTTTGTTCTCTTCCCTTCTTTCTTTATTCCCTTAAAGTACACTTCTTTCCATTTTAATGTTTGCTTTTACTATAAATAGCCATCCAAGCTCATTAATTCTTATTCTAACTATCGGCTCGCTCTCAGAAGAAAACCACACCTTTGATCCTTTCTCTCCCATTTTTTATAAGGAAATTAGTTGGTACAATAACAACAACATCAAGCCTTTTGTCCCACTACGTGGAGTCGGCTACATGAATCCTTTTCGCCATTGTGTCCGGTTAAAAGTCAAATTCTCATCTAAATCTAATAAAGATTTTCTAACCAAGTCTTTTTAGGTCTACCTCTACCTTTTTTAATATAAACCAAATCTAATACCTCAACTTTCCTAACCGGGTCATTGGAAGGTCTCCGTTTAATGTGTCCAAACCATCTAAGACGACTTTCTCTAATCTTATCTTCCACTGAAGCTACTCCAACCTTTTCACGTGTATGCTCATTTCGTATCCTATCTCTAAGGGTCAAGCCACTCATCCACCTAAGCATCCTCATCTCTGCAACACATAACTTAGTATTATGCTTTTCTTTTAATGGCCAACATTCGGCACCATAAAGCATTGCAGGTCTCACCACCATTTTATAGAATTTTCCCTTAAGTTTGAGTGGGACTTTTCTATTGCACAATAAGCCCGATGCATTCCTGCACTTCAACCATCCAACTTGAATTCTGCTGATAATATTCCCATCAATTTTACCATCACTCTGAACAATAGATCCAAGATATCTAAAACGTGTACTCTTATTAATGACTTGATCGCCCAAAGTCACAATCCCCTCACTAGGTCTATTTCCACTAGAATTACACTCCATATATTCAGTTTTAGATCTACTCAAGTGAAAACTTTTAGACTCTAAAGTTGACCTCCATAATTTAAGTTTACCTTCAACTCCCTCTCTAGTCTTATCAACAAGAAGAATATCATCAACAAAAAGCATGCACCAAGGTATATCCTCTTGCAAATGTCTAGTGAGAACATCCATGACTAAAGCAAAAAGATATGGACTTATGGCTGATCCTTGATGTAATCAAACTAAAATAGGAAAATACTTGGTCAAACCACCTTGTGTTTGAACATAAGTAATATCTCCTACATACATATCTTTAATGATTTGAATATAAGCATTATTAACTCCTTTCTTTTCAAGAACTCTCCATAGCACTTCTCTTGGAACTTTATCATATGTTTTCTCTAAATCAATAAATATCATATGTAGATCCTCCTTATTCTCTCTATATTTATCCATCAAACCTCTCAATAAATGTATGGCTTCCATGGTAGACCTACCCGGCATGAATCCAAATTGATTTTGAGAAACATTAGTATCATGCCTCAACCTATGCTCCATAACTAGCTCCCATAGTTTTAAAGTATGACACATTAACTTAATTCCTCTGTAATTCGCACACTCCTGTGCATCACCTTTATTCTTAAAAATATGAATCAACACTCTCATTCTCCACTGATCTGGCATCTTTTTAGTCTTCAAAATAGTATTAAAAAGTTTATTAAGCCAAGAAATTCCTTCATCTCCTAAGCATTTCAACATCTCAATTGGAATATCATCAGGTCCAACAGCTTTTCCACACTTCATTTTCTTTAAAGCCTCTCTAACTTCGATTTTACTTATATGCCGATAAAAATAAAAAATCATTATTTTCATTTAAGGTGATAAGGTCACTAAAGTCAATCATATTTTCACATTCTTCATTAAAAAGTTTAGCAAAATACCTGATCCATCTTTGTTGAATATCATTTTCTAAGAAAAGTATTTTTTGATCTTCATCCTTAATACACTTCACTTGAACTAAATCCTTACTACTCTTATCTCTTTGTTTGGCTAACTTATACATATATCTTTCTCCCTCCTTAGTATCTAATCTATTATATAAATCATTAAAAGCTAAACTCTTTACATCATAAATAGCTTTCTTAGATTTCTTACAAGCCTCTTTATAGCTTTTCCAATTTTCAGAATTTTTATATTTAAACTAATTTTTATAACAAATCTTCTTATTTTTTATCTTTTCTTGCACATTTGGATTTCACCACCAACTATTTTTACTATTAGGAGCTTTTCCCTTTGAAACTCCAAACACATCTTTTGCAATATTCTTAATATCACAAGTCATTTTTTCATACATAATATTGGTATCCTCATGCACAGATAGAATCTTAAGATTTAAAATCTTACTCTAAAAAATATTTGTATTAATATTCTTTAAATGCCTCCATCTAATTTTAGAAAATCGTTTTATTTTATTGGTTATTTTTTGCCCATTTATCTTAAAGTCCAAAACTAATAATCGATGTTGGGTACATAAATTTTCACTCGGAATAACTTTACAATTTTTGCAATCTAAACGATCTAATTTTCTTATAAGAAAATAATCGATCTGCGTTTTATAATATCCATTTTTATAAGTGATAAGATGCTCATCTCTTTTCTTAAATAAGGTATCAGCTATTAAGAAATTATAAGATAAAGAAAAATCTAATATAGTCTTACCACATTCATTTATCGTTCCAAACACATAACTACCATGGATGCTTTTATAATTATCTACCTCTCTACCAACATGTCCATTTAAATCTCCTCCAATAAAAACTCTTTCTTCAAGAGGTATATTTTGTATTAATTCTTTTAAGTTATTCCAAAATTTTAATTTTGAACTTATATCCAAACCTACTTGAGGTGCATAAGCACTTATAATATTAACAATCTTAGCATCAACAACAATCTTTAAAGTTATAATTATATCTCCAATTCTGTTAATTTTTTAACATTATTCTTCAAACTCTTATTTATAATCACACATACACCATTTCTAGTACGACTCCTACCCGAATACCATAACTTATATCCTAAACTATTAATCTCCTTAGCTTTCTCTCCAACCCATTTAGTTTCCTGAATGCACAGAATATTAATCTTCCTATGAATCATAATATTTATTAATTCCATTAATTTTCATGTAAGGGAGCCTATATTCTAAGTTCATATCCTAATTTTAGTTTCATAGACTAGCTTATTTGTCCGCATCCGTCCTTGATGTGGGAACCCTTGCCTATTTAATACTGCATCCGGGCGCCGGTGCAGCGGCCCTTGCACACTTGTCACTGTATTTAGGCCATACAACACGTCGCTTCCAGGGGACGCCCTAGCATTAACATAATTTTTTAAAAGATTCATGTCATGATTATTCAACAAGTTTTACGCTGGCTGTCGACTACCTAACGCAACCCTCCACTTTTCTCATCCAGGACTTGGGACCTGGCAACGGCAGTGTTAAAATTAGTTGGTATTTGAAAATATTATTCTATTTTAATTTTGATTAACTAAACTAAAATTACAAATAATATAACAAAATTATGAATCCATAATTCTCTAAGACAATAAATCTGTGTTCATTCATAAGAACCCATATTTTGAATCTATTCTTATCTAGTTAAATAAAAATTGGGCCAAAACAATTATCACTATCCCACTTGGAGACCAATTTTTGACTTGTTGATTTGTGGGAATTAACTTTTGTGCAGCACCTTCTCTGAGTCATCCATGGAGGTTAAACCAAGCTTTGTAAAGCCTTGATTTCTTGGCGGTTTCTGTCTTTGTAAGCATATTATTAAGTTTAATAGTCTTGTTTATTTTTTTAATAGTATATGTCTTCCAACAGTCCAATAAAGTAATATTTTAATTTCTATTAGTTTGTAACTCTTTTTGGAATTTTTAGCCAAATCATTTATTTACCAACCTCAATAACTACCACATATGATGCTTTTGTAGTAAATAAGGCCACTAACTTTTATAATCAAGATACCCAATTGATAGCGCCACCACCTATTGTGTTGAGCGTATCCCTCTGTACTTCTAGCATATGGATCATTATCTTGATGAGCATCCCTGTCTCAAATGTTTGCTCCATTCCCTGTCTCCTGTGCAAATCCCGCCGCTGTTGTCCAGCAATTTGGCACTGTTTCAGAGCAGGCCATGCGCAAATCCTGCTCTTGATCGCGCCCCCATTCATGTTAATAAAACGAAGTCGAAGTGAAGCCCGCGATTTTTCTTGAACACACCCCGAAGCTCCCATTCTCTTCTCTTCCCTGTTCGAAGCTTCCCTCCAGCGTCCCATCTCCACCTGCTAAACCAGGCCGACCAACTCCCGCACCTAGGCCGATCTCCCTCGCCTCGTTCGAACGCTTCTGCCTCCTGTGACTGAACTCTGTGCCTGCTGACCTTCCTCCCTCACAGCTTATAGCCGAATATCACTCAAGATCCAAACACGAGCCTCCTCACGACCGGCCCCCTCTTGCCCGATCGAGTTTCAATCCCGCAACCTTCAACCCCTCAAACTCATAACAAGGCAATCGACTCCTAGCCTCACACAATCCCTTCCTCCCGCCGGTCTGATCACAACCAAATAACCTCACGCAAGCCTCTCCAACTCCAACTTGATGAATGCTAAAAAAAAAAAGGTAAAAAGTAATTAATCATTAGGCCCCTTGCCTATGGAATATCGAGATACAAAACCATTGTTTCATACCCATATATTATCTAATGCATGTTTTTTGCGTCCACTTTATTCATTCTGTTTTAAATTTCCTCATTGAATGAATCATTTTAAAATGAAATCTTTTATATGTTTTAGAAACAATATCAGATCATGCTTTTCAATGAAAATACTCTCAATTAGAACATGATTTTCTGTGCAAAGAATTGTTAAGTTGCTAGTAACAACTCTTTTATCCTTCCTCCTGCCTCTGTTGCCATTTGGTCAGGTGTGGGTACCCTGCAATAAATGCTTCATACTATGATTTGAGCTATCATCCCACAAGCACCAGCAAAGATTGCAAGCTTTACAGGAATGCTCGTAATGTGAAGTGCTATGATTGTGATTCTTGCAAGCAAGTTTTCCACCTGATCTATTTTTAAGCCTTCTTCTTTTTCTTCTTGCACTGTAATTCGAACTTTTTCTTGCTTTCATTATAGGGCTGGTGTTGCGCAGCGCATGAAAACAGAATGGAGAGTGGTTGCAATCTTCAATGTGATTTTGTTTGTCATTTTGGTAAGAGTACTTATTTCCTGATCGAAAACTTGTTTCAAATCTACCATTCTTAGCTTGTTTCTTGTCTGTGCGGTGATTTGGCACTTGCATGTTTTGCTTGTTCAAATGCTGCATTTCTTAGCTGAAATGAGAGTTTATTAAACACTTCTAAAGGATTACCATGCGGTTTCAAATATATTATTAGGGTTCATTCAGGACAGTTGTAGCTATCTATAAAAGTAGATATAGAATTAATGTAAAGAAAACAAATTGGCTATTGGACAATTTTGGGCACTAATTGAGGACTCCTTGGACAGTTTTAGGTTTTCTTAAAATTAAAATTTTTGTACTAAAAAACTGCTTTAAGAAGCCGTAAGAGCATCTTCAACCGAACGCCAAACATGCCTATGACGTCGTTCGGTCGCTCCAACTGAACACCAAATTTTTCACTATTTGCTTGCGGGTGAACAGTGCGACGCCAATATTGGCATTGCACTCTTCACCAACGCCATTTTTCTGTCTCAACCAGATTTGCCGAAGAAAAGCACCAAGGAGGAGAAAGACTGTTACCTTTGCAGAAGCCCGCAGAATGGAGTTTGATTGGAGATGATTCATGGCATTTTTAGTTTCACTGCATTTTGGAGTGAAAATGAGATTTTCGGTTAGAGATGCCCTAAAAAATCCGTCCCTAATGAGGCCTTAAACATGTATTATACTCAATTTGTCGTTCTAACTTTTTCTATACTTAATCAATCTTCCATACTCATTCTTGCTCTCTTCTACTATCTACCAAGATCATTCTCACTTCCAGTAATATTAAGTTATTAAAAATCCTAAACCCTAATTTTTTAGCTCCTTGCATAATAACTACAGTGTCTAATTTTCTGATCTGATCTTTGTCGTTCAGTCGGCCGTGTACTTAGTAGCTTGCTGTGCGAGGAGAAATGCTGCCAGTAGTAATTCTTTAAAAGAAGGAAGAAGATGAATCCCAGAGGAGGAACTTGCAGAATGCCTGTTCTTAATGAAGTTTTTGAACTTGAAAAGAAAGGTCAGGTGGATATATAAAATATGTATCATTGATCCTTTTCAATGGGCTGCCTATGATTTCTGTGGCTGTTTGAGAGCTTTGTTTTTTAAGGTAGCAGCTCACATTGCTCCCAAGAATTTTTTATGTAAACCATATTGCTACTAATAGCTGTTAGTTTAGATGAATTAAGAGGTATTTCAGGAAGAAAGATTTTTTTTATGAGGTCTTCCTCTTACAAAATATATAGAACTCTTTGCCTATTCTCTTTTAGGCTTTGCTTGAGACATTCTTTTTACTATTTTTTAAAGCAACTTTTTAGTTAAAAAATTCTTGTTCAAACAATTTTTGTTTTAAAAAGTTTCTTTAGAAAGTAGTAAGAAAAGCTGTTCCAAATTAAGGCTTCGTTTGGGATAACTTTCGTACTGCTTTTTAAAATGATTTTCTAGTACAATAAATTCAAATTCAAAAATTTTTGTATTAGAAAGCTGTTTTAGAAAGCAAGAGGAAAGTTGTTCTAAACGAAACCTAAGTCTTCGTTTGGGATGGCTTTTTTACTGCTTTTTAAAGTAGTTTTCTAGTAAAAAAATTTTAATTTTTGTGCTAGAAAGTTGCTTTAAGAAACAATAAAAAAGCTACCCCAAATGAAGCCTTAGTCTTAAGCTTCGTCTGGGACGGCTTTCTCTATGCTTCTTAAAACAGCTTCCTAGTAAGAAGCTACTTTAAGAAGCATTAAGAAAGTCATCCCAAACGAAGCCTTAATCTTGTAAGGCTTTATTTGGGATAGCTTTTTAATAAAATTACTATGCTTGAAATTTATCTTAGAAAACAATAAGAAAGCTGTTTCAACAACGCATAAAACAAACTCATCAGGTTAATTATGAATTATTTATTGAGCCATCTTTTTATCATATATGTATACACGTCATTCATTTAATAATTTATTATTCATAATATTTGTAGATATGAAAAATAATGCATGCCATTATTATCAGAAAATAATAAACCATAATTTAAATATATTTTATATGATTCATTATTTTTAATTATATGTCTAATTTAATAACCACATCATAAAGTATTTTATGTTCATATCTAATTTATGTATCGCGCATTACAATTTAGCATAATCATGATATTAGTTTGTTTGATAGAAAATTCTCTATCAAATTTAAGAAAAAATTCAATAAGATGGTAGTGAGACCTGTCATGCTTTATGGTGCAGAATGTTGGTCATTAAAATAGAAGCATAATATTAGAGTGTTGCAGTGATGAGGATGCTCAGGTGGATGAGTGGCTTTACTCTTAATGACAACATATGAAATGAACATATACGTAAAAAAAGATTAGAGTAGCTTCAATAGAAGATAAGATTAAAGACAGTCGCCTTAGATGGTTTGACCACATAAAACGACAGCCTTCCAAGGACCTGATTAGGAGAGTAGATTCTTTATATCTGGATTATGTTAAGGTAGAAATAGACCCCAAAAATTTTGGTTAGAAAATATGAGAAATGATCTTTATTTATTAGATTTAAATGAAAAATTAAACTTTTAACATAGCATAGTGTAGAAAAAAATTCATATAACTGACCCGACATAGTGGATAAATATTTGATATTATTATTGTAGTATTATAAATAATAAAAAAATTTTAAGCATGAAATATATAAATAAATATATAATAATTCTTTGTCTTTTTTTGGGGGGAAAAAGAATTCTGCCTTGTAGTTGTAAATCTCCTTCGTTTTGAACGTCGTTGGCCATTCACGTTTTTGGGCGCTTTGCTTTGCTGTCTTCGCCGCATCTTTTTCTATCTGATCTTCGAGGCGATTTCGATTCCGGCGGGGACCTCCATGGAGAGCTCTAACCCTGTTGTGGAGAACGGTGGCGACACATCCTACGAGAAGCTCGAAAGCATGGCGACGTGGGTCGGCACGAGCATCTCTTCCGCTTTCTTCGCCTCTCTCGAGCGCTTCTCATGCATCAACCTGTCGACCAGCGACCTCGATGAAGATATCGAGGAAGAAGCCAAGGATCTTCCTCTTGTTCACTCCTCTGATTATCGCAGTGACGAGCCAAGCTTCGCCACCAATTTCGCTTCTGAATGGGCCCCGCCCTCTTATTAATTACCGTAGGGAGCTTCACTTCCCCTCGGCCGTTGGTTTGATGTGATCTGATGTGGGATCTCCGCGATTTCCATTGTTCTTACGGTTCCCCGTTCCCGATCCTTCTGTAAGAGCAGGGACTTCTTTTTTTTCTTTGTTAATGAATTCCAGATCTATCTGTGTTTGTCATTGGAACTTGTTTCTTTTTATGTGAAGATTTTTAATCTTTATGGTGGGTGGTGCTGCGGATGAAATTTTAAATTAGATCTTTTGTTTCTGATGCCACAAATCCTTCTCAGTCCGTGCACCTTCATAATATAATTTCCCAGATGTTCCTAAATTTGTTAACACAGATTCCTGTCTATTTATTCAGATATACGGTATCTTATTCATGTTTAATAAACCTTTTCCAAAGACACAACTCTTCTTGGCCTATTGGTTGAGAGCTTAGGCTTCCAACTAAGAGGTTCAGGGTTCGAGTCTATGTGTATGCATGTGTTGTGTGTATGAGTTTGCCTTAAATGACCTAAATGTCCAAAAAAAAAAAAAAAAACCTTTTCCAAAACCCATGCAAGTATTGATAGCTGAATTTAGTGAATAATTAAGAGCGTACTACCTTACAACTTTCTTAAAAAATACAATAAAGTAGCTAGTGCTTCAAATATTGATGGATTCATGGCCTTGTATAAGGGCTATCTCCAACTGAAAATCCCATTTTTCACTCAAAAATACATTGAAACTCAAAAATGCTGTGATCATCTCCAATCAAACTCCTTTTTGCGCGCTTCTGCGAAGGCAACCGCCTTTATCCTCTTTTACGCGTTTCTTTGGCAAATCCGGTTGAGACAGAAAAATCGTATAGATCAACAGTGCAACATCAATATTGGCGTCGCACTGGTCACACTCTACCTATTAGTGATTTTTTTGCCATTCTAATGGAGCAAACCAATTACACCTTCCAGTCATTTGGATTTCGGCTGGATACGCCCTAAATGAATAAGGATAGAGTTCGAAGAAATTTGACCTCTTAGCAACCTTGGAATTTGTTTTCACAATACTGTGAAAACTAGTCGAATGTATGAAAATAAAGGGGATGTTGTTGAAAAGCTTGATAGTCCTATTTCACTTAGATTACAATTTATGTGGAACTTGTTCAGTTTTGTGCTTACATTTGAAACTTCTTAGATTTCATTTAGTTTAATGTTATTTGCAATGTGTGCAGAAGTTCTAGGTTCAGCTATCATGCACCAGAAAATAAAATAAAAACATTAACTATTTGTGAGATTATTAATAGCTGTTTGCAAATAAGGATTTCAGGATTAATTAGCCTTTGATCACTAAATGTCATCAAATAACTAGATATTGCCATCTGGATTTATAATATCTTGACTGAATTTAGAGATTTCACAATTTGATTGAAAGTCTGTGGAGATTTAACAAATCCATCTTTTGCTGGATTAGTTAACAATATTTGTTTATTTAATTAGCAGTTTGATTAGTAGTATGATTACTTTACTAATTAGTTAGTTATGCTTATAAAAACCAGCGAAAGATTTCATTTTAACTATTGTTTATTATAAAAATTTGACAACAATTGTCATCATAAATTTTTTTGGAACATTTAGGTCAATTAAGGCAGACTCACACACGCACAACGCATACACAAGACTCGAACCCAAGACTTCTTAGTTGGTAGTCTAAACTCCAACCAACAGACTAAGATGAGCTATATAATTGTCACGATAATTAGTTAATAGCATTGTTAATAATTTTGTATTCATATTGAATTGATTAAACCACGAATACCATATCGATAACAATCTCTTTGGTGGCACAACTAGCTATTTTGATGGTTGAAACACATCATCGATGATCACCCTCTATTCCCCTTGCATCATCATGGTTGGATGGAGATGATTTTGCTAGGGAATGCATGATTAGTGAATTGAGACCGACTCTAAAAGAGGTGGAACTTGGGTGAGTTAGTCTCAAGGGGACAACCTTTGAGTCTTGAAGGTTAAAGCAATTGTGGGAGAGCTGAAAGAACAATTGAGACTTAGGGTTCGTTTGGGACGGCTTTTTTGTTGTTTCTTAAAGCAGCTTTCTAGTTCAATCATTTAAATTTATATACTAAAAAGCTACTTTAAGAAGTAACAAGAAAGCCGGCCCAAACGAACCCTTAATTTCATCATCGGTGATTATGCTCAACTTGCTGCCGAGTTCATGTCATCCAAGGTCCATTTTGTTGCAACTTGCAAGTACTTGGTCTAGAGGCTAAGCGAAGTCGCCCAAGTTACTTGCCAATGAATCATAGCAACTTGCCAGAACTCAGCAAGCCAAAATAAAGTTGGTTGTTGATTTCACTTAAATTTGCCCTTTACTTATAATCAGTATCTGTATTTGTGCTTTTTGTTATCAAATAGTTTCGTGCTAGTTAAGTTTATTTTTCAGCAAATATTTTTCATGCCTTACTATTTGATCTTATTTGTATTGCATATAGCCTTTCGTGTAGCATTGTGCCTTGGCTCAAATTCATAAATACAGGATCTCAGAGGTTGAGAAAAGGATGTTCAATTATTTTGCTCAAATCTCATACTTTCAATTAATCTAATTTTCTTTCTTATTTTCCTCTTAGTTCTTCATCATTTCTGTTGGTGAGATTCAGGTCTTTATAGACAAATTTTGATCCAATATAATGAACACATAAATTGCATATTCTTATAAAAACATGTTACCCCGAGGGGTTGTTTGGTAGCAGGATTTTGAAATCCAGCCAAACGGACAAAAATGCAAAACCAAATCTAATTCTGCCTTTTCGTGCTAAATGCCGGATTTCCGAAATCCTGTTTTTTGTCGGATTTACGAAATCCGTTGGCTCGAGAGGAAAAATTCGCTCGCTAAATCCGTTTTATAGCCAAACAATCACACGGGTTTTATCATGAATGTTACCAAACAGTTTTCAGGATTTCCGAAATTCAAATTTAGCGGACTTACGAAATCCTACTTAAAACAAATCCTGAGTGCTAAACTGACCTGAAATCCCACCTCATATTGATAACAATCAGCTAGGCCTCTATTTTTGTTGCCCCCTAAACGTGTTTACTGGAGCTATTACTGTGGAGCAGCGCTTTGACTATTTGCTTTTCTGCTTGAAGCTTGCTCCTTTTCTGATCTAATTACTTCTGCGAAAATGGTGGCCATTTCAATAACCTGCACTTTCTACCATATTTCCTGGTTTAACTTCCATACATTTCCATGGAAATGACTTGACAAGGCTGAATCATTGCTTACGAAGTAAGAGTAGGCTAGTTTGGTTTCCTTTCTTAGCCGTTCTACTTTATTTTGCGCTGGAAATGCTAGGAGTATGTTAAGAGATGCCGGAGCTGTTTTTTGAGAGGTTATTAGGTGAGGTGTTCAATAGTGTTTGGAGGTCAATTCGGGCGCATCACGTCAGCCAATGCACTAAGGTCAACCCGGACGCGCCATATCACCCAATGTATTGTGCATTGGGAGATGTGGCGCGTCCTGATTGGCCTTTGGACGCATCCGGACTCCGCACCTAATAATTTCTCTTTTGAGAGGGGAATCTTTGAGAAATTTATTTGATGCTAATGTTTGTTCGGTAGCTATAGGTTTTATTTGAGACAGCTTTCTTACTGTTTTTTGAAGTTATTCTTTAGTACAAAAAAATTTTGTATTAGAAATTTTTGTACTAAAATGTTGTTTTAGAATAAGAAAGGCGTCCCAAAAGGAAGCCATGGTCTTAGGCTTCATTTGAGACTATGGTTTCGTTTGGGATGAGTTTCTTACTGCTTCTTAAAGTAGTTTTTTAATACAAAAATTTTGTAAAATAAAAACTGTTGTACTAGAAGACTGTTTTAAAAATCAGTGAAAAAGCCGTTCCAAATGAAATCATAGATTTTATTTGAGATAGTTTTTGGCATTTTTTTTTTGCTATTTTCAAAAAAAGTTGTACTTGAAATCTACTGTAAAAAAATAGGAAGAAAATATAACAACTTGATTTCGAATTGAGTCATATATGACAGCATGATTCGATCTAACTTGATTCGAGTCATATATGGCTCATTAACATTAATTTGAGCTAAAAAATAATTCTCGAGTAATATTGAATACCCTCTATATATATATCAATTTGGATAAGTTAATATCAGTTATAATTTTTATGTATTTTAAATATTTGAGTGTTATAAAAATAAATATAAAAATTTATGTTTTAGATATGTAAATATATCAAAATTTAATGATATGTATGAAAATATATCTATAAAAATGTTTATTCCACAAAGCTACCATTAAGAGTTATTGGCCCTCATGAGTGTGGTTGCTGTCTTGATTAAAGTACTAATTTCTCTCCTATTGCTCCATTTGCAATTTCCCCTAAATTTCAAGAAGAAGAGGAAGAGGGGTCCTTCCTATTTAGGCTACATTCCATTAATTTTTTATATATTTATATATATGATACCTAATTTTTTTATATTTATTTATATAACACGCTAATTTGAAAACCCCGTCAAAGATGTCACTTCATTATATTTTTTAAAGTGAATTATATGTTTTATCCATATAATTTAATGTGATTTAAAAACTAATATTAGATGTTAAATATGTAAATATATAATAATTTTATGATATATATGTAAATCCGCTGAAATTTAATGATTTAGAGAAGGCTCAAATGGAATATATTTAATTGGATATATTAAATAATTGAGATTTATTAAATGGCCCTCATGAGGGTATGATTACTAATTTTTTATATTTACTTATTCAACACATTAAACTCCATCAAAGATGTCACTTATATTAAGTTATTTAAAGTGAAATATATATTTTTATCTATATAATTTAATTTGAATTAAAAACTAATATGCGATATAAATAAATATAAAGATTAAAATGCTAAATATGTAAATATATTAGAATTTTATGATGTATATGTAAATCCCCCAAAAGTTAATGATTTGGATAAGGCTCAAATGGAATATTTTTAATTGGATATATTAAATAATTGGGATTTATTAATTTATATCAATCATATATACATATGTATTGTAAATTTGTATGAGCATTTGTCTCATAAATCTGCCCTTGATTTTAGAAAATTTATATAATATTTTTGGCAAATTTTATATAGATCCTCATATTTTATTGAAATCCTAAATCAATGAGTTTTATGAAGTTTTACTTGTAGGATTGAAGTTGTTATTGGAGTGGCATTTTACAATAAAATTTGAATGATAGTTTAGACTATTATTATTATTTTGGATTATTTAGCTGGCATTGGTTTATTCTATATTGTAGCTAATTAAAAAATTGATTTTAGGGATTTAATTATTCCATTAGATTCTAGGGCGTTACACCAAATCTTGATCTGTTTAATAAATTGGGTAAAAAAGGTGGACCTAAACTTTACTCGCTTTCAACCTGAATGATCTGAATCTGACCCTATAACTAATTTTGATTATTTTTTTTAAAATAACTTGTCGAGTATATATTTTTGATTAATTAATGAAGAATAAGAAGAACATCCTAATAAGCAAACAAATTTAAGGTACAAAAAATTAACGAATCACTTACGGGTAAAAACTACATTTGTAAGTCAACCTAAATCCAACCCACCAATTAAAACAGGTTAAACTTTCTTACCTGAACCTGACCTGAATGAATTAACCTGAACTCAAATTTTTTGGTTCAAATTAATGGGTCGAATTATTGACACTCGTAATCAGAGATGTTGTTAGGTGACATAAAGAAAATAAAAAATAAATTGTAAAAAAATAAAAATAGATATATATTTTTAAAAATGAATCTAATCATTATTTCATTAAAAAATATTTTTTTAACAAAATAAAAAATACATGAAAAAAGTTTTTTGAAAACCTCATAAAATAATTTTGGGCTTATCCACTTTGAAGAGGAGCCCAATAGCTCAAAGAGGAGAGGCTTCTCCTACCTTTCCAACTTCAAAACACCCACCACTCAAAGATACGACTCCCCCGCTCTTTTTCTTCCGGTCCACTCGTGCTCTTCTCTCCCATCTCTTCGATTTTTTTCTTGAAAGGCGCGCCATTTATTACAGTGAAGTACTTAGAGAAGAGGAAGAAGGAGACCAAGCAGTAGATAGCGCCTTGCTTCTCCGGAATGCCTCTTTGCAGTCACTGCTTGCCCATTACTCCTCCCTTTCTAGCCCTAGCTCCGCGTATCTGCTCTTCTTCGAAATTGTTCGCAAGTCCCCGCAGCCGATTTCTTGGACTACGTATGAGAAACAAAGGTAATTTTGATTTGGTTTTAAGTTTTAAGTCCAGTTTTCAGATTGGTTATAGTTTTTTGATTAATTTTTATTTTTTATGGTAGGAATGGATATTTTCTTGAGGCCGCGTCGACATGGAGTGAGGGTTAGGAGTTCCTCTGGTAGGGGTGACAATCAAACTGTCAATAATGCACCGGTTGACAGATTTGTGAAAAGAAGGTAAATTTTTTGTTGATTATGTGAGATATTCGATCAATAGCATTGATTAATTAATCATTTATGTAATAATATGATTGGTTTTATTTATTTATTTAATTTTGACATTCAAAGCTATACCAATTTCTCAAATTCATAGCTTCCATGCTGGATCCGCCAATGGTTGTCTTTGCAACCAGTTGTAAATAGCACTTTACTCAAATTCATAGTTTTGATAATGTGGAGAATTTTTTAATTACGTTTTTTTAGGTTCTGTTTTCTTCTTTTGTTTTTCATGGTTAAGTGTAAGATTATTAAGATATGAAAAGTTTGTAGGTTCCATATCTCATTACTAAAGGAAGGTGATTTTAGATTGTTTAATGAGATGTACCATATAAGTATTTATAGTGCTACATTTGATAATTTTTTTCTAACTGTGCTAAGAAAATGTTTCTCTTCATTCTGGCATTGTGTACCATCCATCTCATTATTTTGACAGAAAAATTGTGGAGCATGTCATCCTTTTGCAAGCCAAGGTGGAACTCTCGGATGTTGATGAAAAAGATATGCTTGATTTTGTGTTTACATCACAATATCATATGCGGGGAATAATCGCTTTATCACTAGGTGATTTTCAAATCTTCAGAGTTTTTCCTATATGTTAAGATTCTTTGGCTTTGTTTGTGACAGCTTTCTTAGTGCTTCTTGAAGCAGCTTTCTGGTACAAAACATTTTGTACTAAAAAATTGCTTTAAGAAGCTTTTAGAAAGTTGTTCCGAGCGAAGCATTTATCAAATAAATCCTCTGATGCGTTATTTGAATTTTGTTTCACCTGATTTTATCTTCAATATCATACATCCATATCTACCATGTGCACTTTGGTTGGTAAAGATGTGATCACATCATATACAACTTTCATTTGACATATTTCTAGTGACTGATTTGTTACTTTTTGGCTGTATTTATATTTTTAACTTGCTTTAGAATATAAATTATATTCGTGGAGCATTGCATATTTTCCCATTACAGAAAGTCAGAAAGTTAATTTAATATGGTCAAATGATCTTCTATATATCAGAGCCTGGCCTCCCTTTCTCAGTCAAAGAAGTCCAACTTTTCTTGCACTAAATTTCTGAATTGAAGCCCTCAATCCGAATGGACACTTCATCTGTATTTTTGTATTTCTTACGTGTGAAAAGTTCCATTTTCTTTGAACTCTAGGCTAATCGCAAGCCATGAGATTTATGTTATACTGAGCCCGAATGGCCGAATGGTCTAGATTGTCAATTGGTGATCCATCCTGCTTGTAGTTTTGATGCACAGCTAGGTCACCTCCATTTCCATGGAGGTCTATCATTGTTGCTGTCCAGCGAAGTAAAGTAACAAATCCTCTTCCTCTCCCTCCTACCCTCCTCACCCCCAAACTCTTATTTGTTCTTCCATTCAGTTAAGATGCTGGTTATGAGATATCATGACCAGTTTGAGTTTAAGAGTAGCTTTTAGTGAAGGGCATCCTTAGAAGGTGCTTTATGTCGGTGATAATCTAGCGAATAAAAAGTTTGTTGATGAATTCCATAAAGCTAAGAAACATCCAGCCTGATTAATTTTTTATCAGAACAACCTAGATTAACTAACTTTTTGGTAATGAAACCTTCTTTGTAGTTGTTAAATAAACATTCTGAATCAGTTATACTTTTGGACTGTGTTTGCAATGTCTGATTGACTTAGGGGCTGTTTGGTTGCCTGAAAAAGAAATACAGTGTAAAGTAAATGCAATATAAAGTAAATTTACTGTATTCTAAGAGAACATCGCGCGAATCAGGTGAGCTAGGAGAATTGGTTATGCTTCTCGTTCTTGTGGTCGTGTGAATCAGGTGAGTTGTGAGAGGCGGCTTCGGCTTCTAGAGAGGGAGAGAGCAACTGTTGGGGATTTCGGACTAGAGAGCCGGGGAGAGAGTGGGAAGAACGGAGAAGAAGAGAGAACTTATAAGCTCAGCGTCCGTGACACCATCACGCGAGAGAATTTCTAACCCGCTCAAATTGAGTGGCTTTCGAAGTCACAGGATCGGTGATGAGGACATCCACCGTACATTTCGACATCGGCGGGATCGTAGATCGACGACTACGATTCATAGTTTTTATTTATGTGTTTTAGTGCATCTCTTTTATTTATTTTTCAGTTTTCCATTTGTACTCCTATGAGGAATTTGTGTTATGTTGTAGTCTGAGGGCATTTGTGTCTTTTACATTTTATGCTTTGGAGGCCTATATATGAAGGCCTAGTCTTTGTATTATTTAGGAAAGTTACTTAAATGAATTTCAATTCAAATTTGAAATTCAAAAAAAGCTTTCCAAATACTATAACTTAATTTTGGAAACCCTCTTTGAAATAAAATATGAATTTTAATTCAGATTTTCTTTAATGTCTTGAATATTGTTTAGGCCCCACATAATTAACTGAAAACTCCCTCTCTCCCCTCTCTACATGGCCGGCCCCCTTCCCCTTGCTTCCCTCTCTCCAATTGTCATTAATTGCCCTCAATCAAGACTCCATAATTACCTTCCATAATTCCTCACCTCCCATTAATCCTGATTTGAATTTGAATTCATCCTTCCCTCCAACTTCACTAAATCTGAGAATTAATTTCAGATTTTTGACTTTTTCCCCTCCCAATTTAATCACAATTCCCCCACTAAATCAGCCCCAATCCCCTCCTCCCTTGTCACCCCTAGTCTTTAATGGATTAATTTGAATTTCAAATTAATTCCCTCCAATTTCACTTAAACCTGAATTTAATTTCAGGTTTCTAAATTTCTCCCAAGTGCCCAATCTAGCCGCTCCCCTCCTATTCCTCAAGCCGGCCCAACACCATCCCCTCCAACCGCCACCTCCTCTCCCTCTTCTCGCCATTGGTGCTCCCTCATCTCCCAGCAAGAATGCATGGAGGATCCGGAAGTTGATCACGGATTTGTTTACAATTCTAAAGAGGAAGTCGACATCATTCAATCACCATTCTTCGATCCAAGATTTGGGTCCGAAGGCACCGTCGAAGAATACGTGGAGCGTATTCTCTTTACTTTGGCGGACGTCATCGAAGAGCAACAACCTACATGATCGTGGAAGATCGCAGGACGACCACCTGTCTCTCCAACTCCAACCAACTCTCCGTTGATCAAAACCTCTGACATCCTCTATCTTGCAGTGGCATCATTGGGCTTGCTTACTTTTGTCCTCCGCTAAACCTACTTCCAAAGAACGATCGAGAGGGAAAATCTAAGGCGAAAGTTCTAATTGTTAAGTGGTGGATTATTGTTAATCGCATATTTGTTTACTATTTTCTTGTCATTATTTCGGATCGCTCTGTTAATCTAACGTGTAACCGCATGATAGAAGAAAGTCAATAACTACGAAAACTGAAAATCCTAACTTAGTGAATCATTAATGTTATAATTTCATTGCAGAAACAAATTTCTTAATAAGATCCTACAATTCCGTTGGTTGTTTCACGTCAATCGGCCTCTGCTAATGCTTCGAACGACTTCCTTCTGTTCCGCTCAAAATCAACCAAACACCGTAATTTAAGAAATGCAGGTAATTACATTATTTTACCCTACTAATCCTGCATACCAAACAGTCCGTTAGTTACTGAGAAATAGAAATAAAAGAGATTAATGTGTTTAGATGCTACTGGTAGGCCACTCATCCATTAGCTTAATTTTATGTCTTGCTATGATTCCCACCAAAACTCGCTAGTGGTTGGTCTCTTGACAGATTAAAATGCGCACATATTGATCTTAGAGCTAACAATTGAATTGTGGTCTTCGGAATTGTTAACATGGAATCTACCTTTTGAACTTCTACTTATGCAGGTCGCGTTGAGGATTCCAACGTTGACAATATTACTCATGCTGTATATATGCGTTTTCAGAGAAGGGAAGATCTTGCAAGGTTCTCTGCTAATCCTCACTTCTTAGAAGTGCTTAAGGAGCATGTCTTTCCGTACTGCTATGTATGCCCTGTGACATGTAATTATCTATCCAGTTTCTTCCTTCCATGTCTTTCAATTTCCTATGAGCTTTATAGCACTACTTTTGTTCTCATTGTGCCTAGTCAATTTTCTTAATGTACTAATGTCAAGTTCAATATCTTTTAGGGATCGCTCTCTGTGGATTTTGAATCTGAAGTAGAGGATGACATGTTGTCCATATTTCGCAGAGGAGAGGTTACATTGATAGCAGTTACATTACCTTACATGTCATTTCATGTTCTATATATCCTTTTCAACCTCTTTTGAATGAATATTTGTTTCCCCTTTTTTACTTTCGAAAGTAGTGGTTCTTTTGCACTATTAATAGTATTTAGGTAAACTCATGGTTTAAAATTGTGCAATAAGAGGACGTCTTGAGGCTCGCCTTAGCACAATTTCGTTCTTTTAAGCCTCAAAGCCTACGCAATGAGAGTAGGGAATGAGGTGTACACCTCACCTCAGGTTTTAGAGCCGTCCGCCTCTTAAAATTAAAAAAAAAAACAAAACAAAACCCTAACCTAATATTTAGGAGAGGAAGGGGAGATAGCAGTTCATCATAATGATGATTCAAATGAAGACCCCCTTAGTGATGACAGTGCTGATGACTTATGAGTTCTTATGTGATGCGTCATTGCTATTTATTTTTGGAATTATATTTTAATGAAAAGAATATTGTGATTTGGGAAAGAGAGAATTTTGAGTTGAACCATGTTTCATGTTGTTTTATTATTGGGATATTTTGATTTCACTTCATATCTTGTGTTTTTTTTTATGATTTATATTATTTACTCATTAATATATAAAAAAAATTATCATTTTATGTTTACGCAATCTTTTGATTTTGAGGCTTACGCCTCAAAATGCCTCACGAATGAAAAACGTCTCAATACCCGATTACGCAAATTTAAACATTGGGTAAAACTATGATTTATATCTCATCCATAGACCATGAATGGTCAAAATATTGTTTTCTGCTCTTTTTATGTAACCATGCCTGCTTTTCATGTATACTAATTTCCTTCGGATTGGATTTGAAAAAGTAATCTTGATCCCATCAGCATCACGCATCATGTGCCCTTCTTCTAATAACTTTTAGGCTTATCTGTTTAAACAGGAATTTAACTATGGAGTGGAGTGTGTTTTGCTGATATCTGTTTTTGAGGCTTCACTTGGGCATGCTATAGAAGATGCAATACTTGCACTTCAAAGCCTTATGGAAGAATTTCGTTCTATAATTGTACAAGGAACTATTGGTAATTGAAGCTAGGAGGCATTATTTGATAGTTTTCCTTTTCAGTTATCCTTTGCCCTCCTTTTTTATGCCTTACATGCTACTTAACACCCAAATTTAAGCAAAATTGCATATGAACAACACATACAACCTCATAGTTATTATTTAAAATTACAGCATTATGATCTTACCTGTTTATTAACAGGGTCAATCAATGTCCTTAACATAATTAACTAGTATTCTTTTCTATGGTTTTAAATATTTTTTGTGAGAAGTTGTATTTATGAAAATATAAGTCCTGTCTAATGATGCTCCTATTGGCATTTTTTTGCTTATCAGGCTTTTTAACTTTAATATTTTGTATGGCATTGCACTCCACTAATTTATTATTAAGCTAACATGAGTGTTCTACTTTACTAGAATCATATCTTGTTTCTAATTTTAATATTCTTTAAAACTAAATACTTACTAAAACTCTTTAAGGGGCTGCTACTGCTCTGAAGTTTCTTTAGATGAGATTACTTATAGCGATAGGATAATTAGAACTTTGGATGTGAAGCTTTTTATTGCGTTCAGTATTCTTGCTCATAAATCTTTGTTATCAGTGGTCTATTTCTTAGATATGCAGTTACTTGGTGCATTTAAATTACCTACAACGGTACTCAAACCTATGTTTGATACCTTTGCTGTACTCAGAAAACTTCAGGTTCACATCTTCTATTTAAATACACTTTTTATTTATTAAATTCATTTATGATGATAACTAGTTCATGTTTTATCCGGAATTTGGTGTAGTACTTGTTAGGAAAACAGCGGCCATCTTTATGTTATAGAAGTGTCAACTTGGGAGCAAATGCGATGAAACAGAAAGTTAAAAATAAAAAAATAAGAACCAAATGAAATCACCAAAATTTTTGTTGTTCGACTTAAGTAAGATTATGTTAACAAGAGACAAGAGGAGATATGATTGACTAACAAAGAAATAAATCCTGTGATGTATACCAATTCTAAAATCCATAAAAATATAATATTTTTGCATTTAGATTATGACTTCAATACCTTTTATGAAGATTTTTTTTTATAAACGAGAATTTGACTTTTAATAGAACACAATGGAGAAAAAGGATTCATGTAGCCGACCCCACGTAGTGGGATAAAGGCTTGATGTTGTTGTAAACTCTCGAGATCTTATCGCTCATTTGGTAGTTTTTAAAGTTGATTATTAAACTTGATCCTCTATGAGCAAGCATGCATAGTTAACAAGGTGCAATAAGTAGAGTAAAATCATTCAAATAACTCGAAGATGGCTGTATTGATAGAGATTCTCAACTGACACAAAATGTTTTCCTACCCTTGAGCAATTTATTTTGAATTTAACTTCAAGCAAAAATATAAAAAAATTAGAAATATTCACACAATCCAAACCATCCAAATGAAATATAACATATTAAAGCTAAATTTCATAATTCGTTCACTCTTCATAACAGTTTGATGAGGGTAATACATTTATAAATAATCTTTAGCTCTTTAAGAGCTAATGTCTGGTCGAGCATATTACTATTATTCTTACTTTTAGAAGAACTCACGTTGCTAAAGACGTGACACATCCTCTAATTAGGTAGTTTTTTTGCCATCATGTGGCAACAAATGTAAACCCTTATAATAGGGACATTTTGATCATGTGGTTTTTCCACAAAATAATACTATTAAATTATGATCATGATCAAAGCTCACAAGTTCTCCAGCACGTCCAAATCCCCCAAGTCTGAATCATGGGTCACAATTGATAGGACATAACTTCCTCTGTTGGCTAAGATTAACTTAAATGTATCCCCTTATACAAATACCTACCTAAGTTTACAAGGTTTCTTTGAATGACATAACCCATGGCTAATGACAAGAATTTGTTTGCTAGGCTGGATCCATTATCTCATTTGACTAAGAGACCAGGGTTTGTGGTAACCTAGGACAATGAAACTATGATCATGTTTCTAATCATTTCTCACCATCCGCTTTAAGCTGTCGGGGGTCAATTTTCAATCCAAAATCAAAATTCACTTCTTCTATGTGCTCATTACTTAATGCATATTTAATGATTAACCTTAATCAAAAGTTATCTTTTGTCATTGAGAGGGATAATTAATCATAGGGGCTTGAGTTTATGAGAAACTTAAAACTTGATCTTAAGTCCTTGTAAAATGAGGACAAAATATCTTGGTAGTTATTTATCTGCAATTCAATTCGTCTTTTCAAAGTTTGACTCGTAATAATTAAAACTCTCCTACTAGAGTTGGGGCACGAATTTTGAATGCTAAAAGCTTCTGTTAATTGAACTGAAGTAGTTCAACAAAAGTAAAATGTTGTGAGCAAATTATGATGCTTTGTTTTAATCTACTTTTTTCAATCCTGATATGAAGGGTAAACCTAGTTCTTTTTATTTCTTGTTTTTCTTGATGCTAAACAACTAATTTATCTTTGAATTTATAACTCTCCAGGTTCAAATTTCAGTAATGGCGATAGTGAATATACACATGCAGCCATTATACGCTTTTATACTTGTAAGCATCACTATTGAACAAATTCATCTAATTATTTCTCAGTTTTGCATCATAGATTTTTATTTTTAATTGAAAGGAAAAACCTCTTCGTCTTACCTAAGTTGGTTCGGGTGTTCCTGCTTTTCATTGATGTGCTTTTTTTGTGGTTTTGTTATATTGCAGTGCAAGGCTTCGAAATGTTCAGATGCAGCCCTAAATACAAAGATGTAAGCTTTTCTTTCCCCAATCTTCTTTCACATTTTGTTCTTCCCATTTTTTTTCCCTTACAATATTGATTAGGTTCTTTTAACTGTCGTGGTTACACTATCTTTTCCATGGTCTTTTGCTTTGGTCATACAAATAACAGTTCTTTCACCATTTCATGTGTCCTTTTATTTTTATATTCAAAAAAGGGATAGGAGAGTGGTGAACAGTGGCAGAGCCAGGATTTTTTATCTGCGAGGGCACAAAATTTTGACTTTAAAAATATCCTCAAGCTTTTTCATTTTAACTTGAAATTGACATTATGGTTTTAATTTTTTTAATTATATGAAGATAAATTTTATGAAAAAGAGAGAGAGAGAGAGAGAGAGAGAGAGAGAGAGAGAGAGTTTTTATGGGGAATATGGATTCTATTCTTCAATCTTTGCTAAGGGTTTTTATGGGATAGTCACAGTAGGTTTCAATTGATATTCTCTTAATTGAGTAGAAGCTATATCTAGCTTATCTTTCAAGTGTTGAACAGTACTCATGGCTTCGTGTAAAGAAGATAGTTCCACTTCCAAATTCCAATAGTCAAAGTATACCGAGAGACTGAATAGAAGTTTTGTAGGCAGTCCTAATACTCACAGAGCTTTCATCATCTTATCATGTCATTTCATTGATGTTCTTTAAATTTAGGCTTCGTTTGGGACGGCTTTCTTATTGCTTTTTAAAATAGTATTTTAATATACAAATTTTAATTTTTGAACTAAAAAACCTTCCCAAACGAAGCCTTAGTAAAAGCTACTTCCGGCTTATCTTTCAAGTATCGAACACCTTCCACCATTGTCATGATGATGATGACAATATCCATCTAATTGAATGATTTAGATTTTAAGAATCTTCCTGTCGCTCATATCTGGGTTTTTGCTTCTGATTTTGATGTTCTTCATGCGCATCTCTAAAACTTGCCCATTCCTCTTGGTTTATTTCAACCAATTTTAAATTCTAGCAATATAGATGCTCTTAATTCGATAGTTATAAGAGGTTAGTGTAAAAGATCATGATTTACACCATAGCATGAAAGCTCTTTAAGAACTTCATTATCTCTTTTGCTCATTTTGGTTCTTAAAACGCAGATGTGGAAGTCAAAATTCCAGCCAATTACCAAGAAGTCACTGTTAATACATTTCAATGTTGATCCAGTGGGGACAGAATTGCTGTAGTTTTTGTCTTATGGTGAGCTTTCGTAGCAATCAATTACAATTTTTTTTTCCATTTGCCATCTCTCTTGGAAATTCTATTATACAAATGATTTATTTTTATTATATGTTTGTTTCAATGTTACAATTCTGTACATTTCTGCAAATTATACTCATCTACTATTTTGAAGTTTTAATTGTATTTAATAGTTTTTAAAAAGCAAATTTCAATTATAAACTTTTGTCTATATTGCATGTATTATTAAGCTTACTACAGCGAAATGATTACTTAGCTTTTGTTTGGGACAGCTTTTTTATTGCTTTCTAAAATAGCTTTTTAGTTAAAAATTTTTTGATATTAGAAAGATGTTTTATAAAACAATAAGAAAGTTATTTCAAACGAAACCTTAGATTGCAGCCTCTCAAGCTAAATAGTTAATCCAATCTCAAAGCAAAAAAGATAAGTATTCTAAAACTAAGGTAAGGGTATCTCCAACCGAAAAAACTCATTTTTCACTCCAAAATGTCATAATACACCAAAATGCTTTAACTTGTCTTCAACCGAACTCCATTTTCTAACAAAAAAAAAAAAAAAGAATGTTCCTAATATATTTTTTCCCATACTTCATTTTATATAATTTTTGAATTTTAAAAAAAATGGCGGATGAACAGGCATCGCACTGTTTATCCGCGATGAAATGGCGTAAGAATTGCCGCTCGGTTGGAGCAACGGAAGAATGACAAACAGGTATTTGCCGTTCCATAGGAGATGCCCTAAAGTTGGGCACAGTAGGTCTCACTAGTTACTTTCATGGACTAATATAGTTTGGCTTAATTGGCATCCTCATTAACTTTTTATTTTATGCTATGGCTTCGCTGGTATTGTTGTTTGGAAAAAAGTTATATCAGAATATTTTGATACAAGTTATATGAGAATGAGCTTAAGAATCATTAGATTTACATTGATATTAATGTCGTATATAAAAATTTTATATTGCACTAATTTCAAAGCAAATCTAGCAATTTTCAAGCTCATTTTGTTAACACTTTTTTTTTTTCGTTTCTATTAGAAAAGTGCGTTAAGAGAAAGTGGATGAGAATAAAGAGGTGTATCCATTGTATGAATATTCATTTAGACTTTATTTGGGACGACTTTCTTATTGCTTTATAAAATTGTTGTAAAAAAAGTAACTTTTTAAAGTTGTTATATAAAACAACTTCCTAGCACACAAGTTTTTGAAGACGACAAAAAAGTAGTATCCAAACATATTGTGGATGCAGTCTGAAAGCAAAACTATAAGAAAGCTGCCCCAAGCGAAGCCTTGGAAAGGCTTTGTTTGGGACGACTTTCTTACTGCTTCTTAAAGCAACTTTTAAGTACTAAAAATTTTGTACTTGAAAGCTGCTTCAGAGAGCAATAAAAAAGCTGTCTCAAACGAAGCCTAAGTGTTTATGCTGCTATTCTCCTATTCTAAATCAGATCTAACATTTCCCAGATCTTCAATTTCAGGTTTTATTATTATTATTCTCTCCAACATTCTTCTTATGTGAGCTTCTGACAAAGCTTAATCATATAATGCATGAGACCTTTCTATCACTATAGTGCCAGTTCTGCTCCAAATGATGGAAGATCTTACTCAAACTTAGGAAGAAAAGTGCATATACTTAATATTTTCTGTTGATAGCACATTGGGAATACACTGTCATGTAATGTTCATTGCCAGATATTCATCAGAAATTATTTCTATTTCCTTTTCATATGAGATTTTTAAGCAAGTTGAGGAAGTACAGTGTGTTTCTTTTAATAATTTATTCGTCCCGATTATTCATCCACGTTTTGTTTGGGATGATTTTTTTATTGCTTTCTAAAGCAGCTTTTTTTATAAAAATTTTGTACTAAAATTTTGCTTTTGAAAGTATAAAAAAAGCTGTCTCAAATAAGACCAAAATCTTGTCATATGACTCCTATCTATTTCTTTCTCCTCTTTTGGTGTCTTATTTATTATGTAGTATCTTTTAAATATTTGAATTAAATTTTGCTTGTAAGAGCTTTTAAGTGTGCATCAAGATTCCTACAACATAACAATATATATTGGCTATTAAATGTGATGATTAAGCTAGTAAACTTCTCCTTAGGATTCAAATGGGATAACTATATTTGATATATTTTAAATAATGTTATAATTTATTTAATATAAAATAAGGGTGTAAGCGAGTTGGCTTGAACTCGACTTGTTAATGAGTGAGCTCATGAGGTAGGCGAGCATATTGAGCCACTAATTTGAGTTTGAGCTTATACTTGAGCTCATAATGACTTGTAAATTTGACGAGCTACTCGTTTAAATTAAAATATATATTCACAATTAAATTTAGAATAATGTAATAAAATATATAGCTGCATAGCCTAAGGTTTTTTTTTTCCTTATTCCCTATATCTGATATAATGGAGTCTAGTATTCTTAAACTTGGTGATCTCTCCATTCCTTCTCAACTGAAGTTTCTTGTGTCCAATAACAAAGAATATTGTTCACACACAACTTCTAGCCGACAATTACTGGAGCTCTCAAATCCTCAAACTTTTCAACGCTAATGGATTCGATGGATCAACACCTTGTCCACCTAAGCATTCTCTTTCGGGTACATGACATCCATCACCAAATAGGTATTTACTCGACTCGTTTACACTCTTAGTCTTGACGGCCCATATGCATTGTTTCAACAAAAATTGATTTAAAAAAAAAATCATAATAAATAAATAGCAAGTCAAACATGATACAAGAATTTTATATATCTACATACCAATTAACAAAATATAAAATAAAATAAAACTAATAGTAAATAATGAGCTGAACATGATCGAACAAAACTCTATATAATTCACTCTTTAAGGCTTCATTTAGGACGGCTTTTTTATTGCTTTTTAAAACAGAATTTTAGTACAAAAATTTGTACTAAAACTCTGTTTTAAAAAGCAATAAAAAAGCCATCCCAAAAGAAGCCTAAGAAAGTGATAATTTGGAGGAACATCTCTTCTAGCAAAAGGCTTAGCCTCTTAGGCAAGTAAGATTTAGTTCTATTTTTTTCTAAAAAAAAAAAATTTAACACCCTCAAATTTTAATTGAGTTTATAGAAAATAACTAAGGCTTTATTTGAGATAATTTTTTTATTACTTTTTAAAATAAGTAAAAAATTGTAATAAAAGTGTCTAGGACCAGTCTAAATCTTAAGAGTGATTAATTGACCTGGCCCACCAACCCGTTTAATAAACTGAGTAGGTTCAAGTTGGGTTTTCCAATCAATTTATTAAACATATCGGACTTGAGTTGACTTGCCAACATTTTTTTCTTAATTTTTTACATGTGATATAATTTTATTATTTGTTTTATCAAAATCATAAATTTTATAATAATAAATTCAATTTTTTTTAAAGCTAAATAAGTTAACATATCAAGTTCATATCGTTCTGATTGTTAGTGAATCATATTTAAGTTGATATTTTCGACCCATTTATTATACGGGTCAGATTCGAATTGATCGGATGGGTCAACTCAACCATTCGACCTGTTTATCCAACTTGGATCCAAAAAGACCTAAAGCCATATCCAAAACTACCATAAAAATTCTATTTCAAGCCATAGACAATCATTTGCTAATTCCAAAATTACAACCAAGATTTAAGAAACCCTAAAACCAAAATCACCGACAGAAATTATCGCCGGCCGGCGGAATCCTCTTCATCGACGGCGTACTTGCTGAGCTCCTCGCCTGTAAGCCGACAGATCCTCCATTGCGGCAAAACCTCAGCACCCATCCCCTCATAGAACGCGATCGCATTCTTATTCCAGTCAAGCACACACCACTCCACTCTCCCGCATCCCATCCTCGCAGCCTCCCTCGCCACCGCGGCGAGCATCATCTTCCCCATTCCCAGCCGCCTCCACGACTCCCTCACGAAGATGTCCTCAACGTATATCCCCGGCCGCCCCATGAAAGTGGAGTAGTTCGGAAAGCATAGCAAGAATCCAGCCACCACCAGCCCATCCCCGCGCGGTGACGCGAAGATCGACTCCTCGGGATCTGCAAAGGTCGACTTGAGAGCGATTCGGCACGTGATCGGGCGGAACCCTTGGTCGGAGTCGTCTTCAGCGGCGTTGTGGATGGGGGATTGGGAGATCTCGAGGATGAGGACGGTGAAGGAGTGGAAAGGGAGGAGTGGAGGGGAAGGGAAGAGGGTGGAGGAAAGGGATGATTCGGTGGCCGAGAAGAGGTCGGTGAGAAGCTCGAACTCCGCCATCTGGTGAATTAGGCGGTGGATGTTGGGAACATCGCGCCGGTCGGCGAGACGGATCCTGGTAAAAACTTCCGGTTGTTCCGGCGGGGAAGCGCCGCCGGAGGTAGACATTATTTAAGGTGCGTGAGCAAGCTAGCTAGGGTTGATGAGGAAGTTATTTATAGGCAGGTGTGGTCTTGGACAGTGACGTGGTGGAGTGCTATTGGAGAAGTGAAGGCCCACATTTTTTTAAACGATTATTATGTAATTTGAATTTATGTTCATTAGAAATAATTTTTTTCTCTGATAATTATTTTAAAATATATATTTTTAAATATATACTTAAGTGGTTGAATTCAAACCAAAATGTAGTGATAGCTAATAAGAAATTTACATATAATTACAATTTCTTTTTATATTTATATAATTAATATTTAAATTTATTTATACAATAATTAAATATTAAATATTATATATACAAAATGTCACTATATGATTTAGAAAGAAAAATATTATGTAAATAAATATAAAATTTTAATGGCTGATATATATATATATATATATATATATATAATAAAATTGTCTCATTTGCTCATCATTTAAAGAAGTCAAATAAAAAAGCACCCTTCAAAATCTTATACCTTATATCTTATAGATTTGTGTTATTTTTCATTAATTATGTTTAATTGGAGAAAAATTAAGGTGTCATAATGGATTAATGAATTGAATTTAGATTTGACTATTATTGATGATTAACTATTCTATGTGGACGCCGAACATTATTCGGAGACCAATCAGAATCCTCCACGTCCCCCTTTCGCTCGGTTTCACAGCTCAATATCATTAACACGACGTACTCTAATTGATCTTCAGAAGGCGTCCTGCGTAATGCATAAAATCTCCTCACAAAATAATTTCTCTGTATTGAGACCCATTTTAAACTCTGCCAATTTAAACCAAATCTACTCATTTTGATTAAATTTCTTTTTAATTTACAAACTATATAGCTTAAATTAATTGATCAAAAATAAGAAAAAAAAAATCACAACAAACAAACTAATTTAAGAGAAAAGAAAAATAAAAAGCGCCACTATTAGGTCAAAATTGAGTTCACAAGTCAACACAGACCAGACCCATGAACCCACCAATTAAATTGATCAATGTTCTAGATTTGATCCCAATATGCTAATTGAACGGGTCTTTATTGACCTAATTTTCATTGGACCCATTCAACAGTATTGCTTTGGCTGATATCAAAGATTCAAAGAAAGCCATGGCCATTTTAAGCAACAGAAAGAACATAATCCCTTCAAAGGTAAATAACCAAACAAACGAAGCCATTGAAGACAGCAACGATTACTGCGTACAATTCATACACTCTAACATCAGCTAAACTATGTCCAGGATTGAATCGTCACTTTTGAAGCCTCTTAAGCTCAAAAGCAAGAACAAGGTACATATGCATTAGCCCCTACACACTAAGTTTAAAACATGGAACAGTTAGAAAGAAAAAATTGAAAAGAAAACATTCTGAACCCACCAAAGCAACATATATGGAACAAGACTAAGGCCTGTTGGTGCTAACAAAATGCCCAGTTTTCCTTCTGTGCCGACTGAAATCTGATACAAATCTGAAGGACATCCCACAACCAGCAACCTTGCACTTGTAAGGCCTCTCGCCCGTGTGGAGCCGCAGGTGCTCGGTCCTCGCCCATTCCCACTTGAAAGACATTTTGCATCCTTTCCACGAGCATTTGAAGGGCCGTTCGTCGTTGTGGACGCGTTGGTGACGCATTGCGTACTTGTGGTTGCTGAACCGCTTTCGACATTCATCGTACGTGCAACGGTTGCGCTTGTGGAGTTGGATCTCGGCTTTCGTCCTGAACCGCATGCGACAGCCCTCAATATCACACTCAAATGTATCGCTCGTCTCGGCGGCGGCTCTTTTTCTTCTACCCATAGAATTGCTTCCCCTTCTTCTATCTGCAACTTTAACTTCAGTCACATAAGACTGTAATTTTCCATTTCTTGGTCTTAATCCTTCACATGGACTACGGATGAAACCGTTACAAGTTTGTTGAGCTGCTTCTTTGTCTTGAATTTCTAATTTCTTCTGTGTGTTTTCTGTCTCCATGTGTTCTTCTGCTCCTTGTCGCTCTGCGTCCCATTTTCGTTTGTTCTTTCGTCTCACATATGATTTAATGTTCAAAGTCGATGCTCGCCTCTCATCCCTCGCTACAAATACATCCGGAGAGCAGTTATTATTGCCTGTAGATGCTTCAATTTTCTGCATTTCATCTTCATTCTCAATGACACTACAGAGCTCCTCTTCACAATGCACTGAACAATTAGAACTTCTCAGTTCCTCCGCCATTGAAGCTTCAATATGCATTTCAGATTCAACAGTTAATAATTGTGGAACATAGCTATGGTTTTCAGCCAACAAAGAAAATCTTGGACTGCCCTCCGCATTCTGTTCCTCTGTTGTTTGAGTCTTCTCTTGCATGTGCTGAGCTTCTTCATCACTCGACAGCAAAAGATGTTCACTTGATAGATTGCCACTGTCATGAAAGTTGGCCTCTGAACCTGTTACAATTAACTGTTTATCCTCAGAACTTTTCAATTCTGGAATGGCCATTTCATCCTGTAATTCTAACTTCTTGGATCTCCCACCATCAGAATCTAAGCTAGTTTCACCTCCATTTTTTTCTTCGTTATACAGTACTGAGCTATTAGATGTGGGTGTATTATAGTAGAGCTGATTGTATTGAAAAATAACTGGGACAGAAACAATCGTGGTATTATTTAAGCCATTCAACCCAGAAAAGCATTGAAAACCAACTGATGGACTACTACTCTTCGCTATGCTATTTTGAGAAATTTCAGGATTTTCCATCATAGAAATGGGGACAGTGAACAGGTTTTCAACATTATCAATAACAGGTGCAGCAACATATTCACTTTTACCAATAACTGCTACATTTTGATTGCAACTGCCAAGCTCTTTTACTGGATGCTTGTGATCCTTAAAAGCCAGGTCACTTGTTTTCTTCTTCCGGCTCTGGTAAACCTGGATAGCTTTGATATTATCACCATCTATTACTTTCAAAGTTTGAACCCCTCCCGTCGCAGTAGCAGAAATGTGTGGCTTCTCTGCGATGATGCACTGTGGCTTGGCAGGTGTGCGGGACTTACGGCGAAGCCATCTGAGGCTTGAGAGAATAGAAACAGTTGAGGAACTTGAAAACATTCCGCTCAGAGCTGATGGTAGCTGTTCTTGAGTTGATGCTGAATGTTTTCTAAACTTGACATAGTATCTTAGATTCACACCCAGCTTTGAGGTCCAATCTTTGCCATCTTCTTGATGTTCTTCATCGTCGATTGAGATATTAATTAAATTCAGATCTTCCTGGGACGCATTCTCAAGAGGTACGTCTTTTAATTGTAGTTCTGTCCTCATTTCTTCAGCAATAGATGCAGCATAAGCTTTGAACTTCAGATAATCTGAAGTAGAAAAAATAGCAGAGAATAGGTAAACAAGCATTTGACCAGTGCCATGTAGCGGTAATCATTTACCAAATATTTTACAACCAAATAGGAAATATGGCAGCAGAACATTTAGAAAATAAATTAACAACAAGGAGCAGCATTGTTTGTGAAAGAAACAATGTTAATGGCGCCAATAGCTCATATACTTGTGTTAGACTGGTCCATTGGACAGGTCCAGCAGATTCATACAGGACTGGCTCAAGCGTAACCTGTACGAGCCGCACAAACCGCCCCGTCCAAACGTGTAGATTAGGAAGGTTTTAGGAGAAGTTTAGGAGGGAAATTTGAATGTAGGGACTGTTTGGAGATTTCCTTTTAGATTTTATGTATTAAATAGTTTGTTTTCCTAGGCTTAGGGCATCTTGAATTTGGCTGAAATTTGAGAGCTCTTAGGTTTTTGGGCCCTAGCGGCGTCTAGAGATTTGCGAGAGATAGATCCTCCTCTCGAATAGAGGATCAATTGTATCTTGCTATTTTTCTTTCCGTTAGTTTGATTATTGCAATAAAAATTACTGTTTTCTGGTTTTTCCATTGATTTTGTGGATCGTTCTCGCTGTTTTTGTCTCTATTGCTAGTATTTACTTAAAATCTTCAAGTATTTCCTAACAACTTGTTTATGAATGTGGATTGCAGTAAGGAAGCACCTACACTTTCAGAACAAACAGCAGTATGGAGCATAGAATTTCTTACATGCTTCAGTCCTGCCCCATAAGGCATAGTTATCCCCTTCCTTAAAACACAAGGCAATGCGAACAAATTAACATTGAAGCCTATAACTGCAATCAGGAGACAAAAAATCTGATCCATTTGCATTGGAAGTTTGACTAGTTGCACTAAGGTAGACGCAAAAAGGAAGCATTTCGCAAGAGAAGTTTGGATTTGAATTTGGAATTAAAAAAAATACCAAAGCAAAAGTGCCGCTCTTAGAATTTCAATTGTACGTATGCATGAAATATGCAAGTGGCAACAAGCACATGCTATGTTTAAAGAATAAACAATTTACTCTGACTGATGAATCACCATAACCGACTAAATTAGGCTTTATTTGGGATGGCTTTCTTACCGCTTCTTAAAGCAGTTTTCTAGTGCAAAAATTTTAATTTTTATACTAAAAACCTGCTTTAAGAAACAGTAAGAAAGCCATCCCAAACGAAGCCTTAATCATGTCTTAACTTTTGAGTTGATTAGTGAAGCTTACCAAATCTGGAAGTTTGGGAATTGTAGAATTGCACAGCCACAACTTATTCATAGCCCAGCTCAATACGCATTGTTATAAATGTGTAAGATATTATTAGTCTAAATAAACACTAATTAAAATGTGGTTTTGCTGAAGGTGTCAGGTATATAGTATGTCAAAAAAATTATCAACGCAATTAATAGTATAATCTAGATATTAAATTTCCAAACATAGCACAAGATCCATCAGTGCAAGTTTCTTTAGTTCCTCAGATATAACTGTGGCCCAAATCATCATTAGCCTTATCCAAGTTATTTGGGGTTACCTTTAGGAATTCAGATTCTCGGTTTGTCCTTTTCCAAGCTGAGTTTTGCATGAGATGTTAAAACCATTATATGCAGATCATTTTGCACAACTTCTATCCAAGTTAAGTTTATTCTATCCTATTTTTGTCCTAATAATTTTTACATAAATTCCATCTAACCATTTAATAAGTCAATCTTCTATTCTTCATTGTCTATATTCCACCAACTTTTCTTCAAAAGATGCTACTACCACCATCCCTCAAATATAGTCATTTTTATCTATCATTCTTAGTTTTAGCAAATAAAGTTTGTTTTTAAATCTCCATAATATTCTCTTATAAAAAAATATTCTTGCGACACTTCTCTATTTTAAAGACTGAGTCCTAACTCCCAAATTTAACTCATCATTTAGAGCCTGCATAAATAGATCAACAATTGTATCATTATAACTCCTAAAAAAAATTAAATGCTAATTATCCAACAACAACAACAACATTAAGCTTTTGTCCCACTACGTGGGGTCGGCTACATGAATTCTTTTTCACTATTTTGTCATGTTAAAAGTCAAATTCTCATTTAAATCTAATAAATAAAGATTATTTCTAATATTTTATAACCAAGTCTTTTTAGGTCTACCTCTATCTTTCTTAACAAAAGTTAATCTAATACCTCAACTTTCCTGACCGAGTCATCGGAAGGCCTATGTTTAATGTGAACAAACCATCTAAGGCGACTCTCTCTAATCTTATCTTCCACTAAAGCTACTCCAACCTTTTTCACGTATATGCTCATTTCGTATCTATCTCTAAGGGTAAAGCCACTCATCCACCTAAGCATCCTCATCTCTGCAACACTTAACTTAGTATTAAGCTTCTCTTTTAATGGCCAACATTCGGCACCATAAAACATTGCAGGTCTCACCACCATTTAATAGAATTTCCCCTTAAGTTTGAGGGGGACTTTTCTATCGCACAACAAGCCCGATGCATTCCTCCACTTCAACCATCCAGCTTGAATTCTGCTGATAATATCCTCATCTATTTCACCATCTCTAAATAATAGATCCAAGATATCTAAATGTGTACTCTTATTAATGACTTGATCGCCCAAAGTCACAATCCCCTCACTAGGTCTATTGCTACTAAAATTACACTCCATATATTCAGTTTTAGATCTACTCAAGCGAAAACCTTTAGACTCTAAGGTTGACCTCCATAATTCAAGTTAACATTCAACTCCCTCTCTAGTCTTATCAACAAGAAGAATATCATCAGCAAAAAGCATACACCAAGGTACATCCTCTTGCAAATGTCTAGTGAGAACATCCATGACTAAAGCGAAAAAGATATGGGCTTAAGGCTGATCCTTGATGTAATCCAACCGAAATAGGAAAATACTTGGTCAAACCACCTTCTGTTTGAACACAAGTAATAGCTCCTGCGTACATATCTTTAATGATTTGAATATAAGCGTTACTAACTCCTTTCTTTTCAAGAACTCTCCATAGCACTTCTCTTGGAACTTTATCATATGCTTTCTCTAAATCAATAAATATCATATGTAGATCCTCCTTATTCTCTCTATTTTTCCATCAAAATACATCTTAGTAATATCCCATCCTCTAATATCACCACCAAAATACATCTTAGAAAGACTTAATACAACAATATAAAAGAGGCCGTTTAAGATACGTCCTTCTCCTTGCTCCTGGTTAAAAAAAAAAAAAATCGACTTTAAGAAGATTTTCCTCTTAAATGTGAAAGATTTAGCATCTAAATTGCTGTTGGTGATCTCTGAAGAAGGAAAATTCTTTAGTAGGTTTAATGTTGGAACTTTCAAAATGTCAAAGTGGGTGATGCTTAAATCGTAAGGCACAAAATGATGGTAATCAATGAGAAGATGAAAGAGTTTTGTGCACTATAGAAAAATTTGTACTAAATACACATCACAATATACTTGGCATCACAAATATAGGCAGTATATCTTATGCAAGCTTCTACAATATTATCTGCATCACAATTCAGTATATCTTGCAAGCATTATATTGTAAGTTTCCAATAATTAAAAACAATACGACAGATGCCTCCAGATCAACTGAAAAATGTATAGTAGTAATAACTATTTCTTTGATTAATGCTATGGCGCTCACTACTCACACTAGACAATGACAGACTATTTAAGCACCAAAACGCATGAAAAGAAGATAGCTCAATCTGGTCTTAACTGCAATCAAAATTCTTAACAAATTACATAAAGAGATTCGGGATTTCTTCTAATTTGCATAATATCTGTGTAAAAGAACATGCAGAGTATCAACAAATTAATTTTCACCTGAATGGCATATAACACGTATATGTACTCCACCCCTGTTGTGCAAAAGTTCCTCAACTTCAATTGCATGCTGCAAGCAAAACACCCTTGGTCTAAGAAGTATATTGGATACATCCCACTTAGGTACGCTCACCTTTTCTTTCACAGATTCATCTTCAGAAAAGGGCCAAGAATCAGAACCGGGGCCATTTTCAACTGTTTTGCTAGTCTTTAAGCGCCAAATCCCCTCCATTTTTTTCACACTTTCACAAGAACGGATACCATGGGAACAAAATGCATTGGCAGAACTGTCAGAAACACATTTATTACTCTTGGTTTGACATTCTGTTGCATCTAACTTTTCTCCCTTATTTTCCAAAGAGTTCATAGGGAAATAATTGAGAAAAGAACCGCTACCGATAGGTTTAAGCATATCATGTTCCCTGGAATGCTGCGAAGTTATGCTTGATTTTGGGCACAATTGACAACTTGCATGTAGATTTGCTTGTTCTGCAACTTCAGGGCATCTTTCTTCTATATTAAATTTAAAAAAAAACCAACATTATGTTAGCTTCTATATTTATGCGATGTTACATGCAAGACAAGTTCACAAAAAAAAAAAAAGGGCAGTAGATCCAAATAAAAAAATTGTAAACGAAATCTACCTGAGAAGTCAAAAGAATCACCTTCTTAAGGTTTAAAAAAAAAAATCCTTTTTCTCCAATGCTATTGATCTCGAAAATGAACAGTAGCACCAAACAAGCAAAAAGCTAATATGTAACAAAATTAAAGGCTGCATTTGATCTCGAAGGTAAGCTTTTGTGCGTTTGTCTCTATGGGTATTCTTATAGTAACTTAATACAACAGTCCAGAAATATGCAAGGTCACGCCAACATTGCCTTCTAATCCACAGTAAAAAAATGCATTACTCTAAGGGGCCAACTAGCCTCAATGGGAAGACTTGAAGGATGAAACTAGAACATATTCATAAAGACCAGCCATACCACTGTTATGCACTTGAATCAAATGTTTATAACTTTAAATATTGTAGTTACGACTCTAAGGCTTCGTTTGGAACGACTTTTTTACTGCTACTTGAAGCAGATTTCTAGTATAAAATTAAAATTTTTGTACTAAAAAGCTGCTTCAAGAAGCAGTAAAAAAGCCATCCCAAATGAAGCCTAAAATACCCCCTAAAAGAGTTGTGGAACAAATTTTACCTGCAGTAGAGTTACAAGCATCATTCTGAAGACATGGAGATGAAATGAAGCACTGTGATTTGTCTGATTTCTCATGAGATTCTTCACAAATTATGGAAAAAATCATCTTTGCCGCTTCTACAGAAGGTTGGATGACAGCCATAAATGGATAGCCAAGGTTTCCACATGCAACACATGCCAATGACCCAGAATCAACGTTCAAACCAACAGGTAAATCATCCTCGTCTTCAAACGCTTCCAGATCAGAAGTTGCAAGATCAGCATGAATTGGATTCTTGTAAGACTGTTCTGTAAGTGGAATAACAGAGCATGTGTTCCTCAACGCAATTGCTTCGTCAATGGGCTTCTCAACATGGCAATCATCGACTTTGTCTAAACTTTCTCCTTGTGTATTGATTTCCATCTGTTGATTGTGGGTGCAGCATCCATTTTGATCACCAAAGTACTGTGACTTGAGTGATATAGAAGGATAAGACTGGGAAACAACACAGGGGGCAGGCAGCATATAAGGTTCCCACAGAATTGGAGAAGTAGATTCTTTCTCAAGGAGAACACACAATAGATAATTTTCATTCATCATATCAGTCAAAAATGCCTTCTTGACAAGAATTTCTCTTTCTTCTTTCTTACGGTCTCTCAGACGTGAACTCCGTACGCCTGAGATTAGTGTCCTAGGAATTCTGGCATGAAAATAATTCTACCAGATTCAAACTGGAGAAAGAACTAGGATTAGGTGCCCACTCCATTAATGTTTGGACACCAGAAAGAGAGAAACTATTGTCCAAAAGTACCAAAGCACAACAAGATGCAACTAAAGAAACCAAGAAGTTCCAGGTATATGCAAAAAGAACAGTAAGAAATATTCAATTAAGTGAAACAAAAATTTTATTCCATTTTAATTAAACTAAATAAATTGCAAAAATGCCACTCATTCAAACTTTCTAACCTTTAACGAACTGATGATATCAAACATCATAGAGAAAGTGGATACAAATGGATCTAAAGTTAACAACTGCAGTTAGACTACAAAGGCATTTACATAATGTTGCTGCCAAGAAAACAATATACTATTCACATTTACAAACCATGATCTAATCTTTTAAGCATTACAATCATATGAGGTTTTGCTAACATAAATTTGCCATACACATTCTCATTTCTGAATCCTGGAAAAGCTTTCAAAGGTACAAAACTCCAAAGTTAACTGCATTGCGTGCATGATTGATTGAGAATAATTCAAATATTGTAAGATGGTGAAAAAAAATTATAGCCTCGTACAAGAAGAAAGTTTAATATTTACACAAAACCAACAAAATAATTAGAAACTTTGCATTTGAAGAGGAAGAAAAATACAAAGTCATCAATTTGAAGAACCACTAGCAACTGCGGATATATTTTAGAGACTAACCTTGAGACAAAAGACATTGTCAAAATGTACAGAAGCTGCTGATGAGATAACATTGGAAGATGATTCATGGCTGCCCTTCTTATTGCTGCTTCTTTAGCCACCTTTAACCATTCAGGAGTAGCAAAATTAGCAGCCTCCCCACAATTAAATCCTGAGCATTCACAGATTCGAGTCAGAACAAAAACAATAGCAAGAACAAATAGATGCTATTTCAAAACCATGAAAGAAATGAATAACATGACATGAAGCTATATAAATTTAAAACCATCAAAAAGAAAAACTATGTTTCAATGCTACTCAAAGAACAAAAATTAAGGCATTAAAAAACCTCATATAATATAAAACAGCTAACAGAAAGATAGCAATATTTATATATTTGACAAAGGAAACAAAATAGAAGCTTGCGGGATGTGTAATCAGCTTCTTCAACAATGTCATGCAAAGCTATGCAATGTAAATGAATAAAAAACGAAAATCAAACAGGAAAAAAAAAAATAGAACTAGTAGAAACGCAGCAAAAAACAAATATCAACAAGATCCTTTCACAATTCTGGTAAGCCAATTAGAATGAACAGTGACCTGACTAATGCAAATAACATTAAAAAGCACATGTAATTTAATTAAGAAAACAAAATCCAAGATAAAGGGATATTGCTACGATATCTATACTATCACATGTAAATAATTTATAATAAGAATTTGTACTATTTAGTATTATAATATTTTTAGCATTGAAGATATTCTCCTTTTTTGTATCTTTTCTCTTATCTATGCACATATATACTGGTGGTAAGAAGATAATTCAAAAAAGTAGTAATTTGCAATTCTCTATCTTCTAACATCGTATTAGAGCTACTTGATCATTTATCTTGCCTCCTTGTCACCTTTCATAACGATTATTTTAATTTCTCGCATCATCGACTCAACGGACAAATGAAATTTATTATGAATTATTTTTGTTCACCCTTGGTTAAGATTCCACATGAGCCTAACCTCCCCTCTTCATCGTCAACCACTAAGGCATCTCGCCAAATGCCACCTCTTATGTCAACCTCTTTTTTGATGATCTCTATTAATACTCCTTTTCGATACTTTTCATTGATAATGTGGTGATGGCGGTGGAAGAGTTTTGGTCAACACGGCGTGGGAATGAGGTGGAGAGCAACTACTTACCAAATCCGCATATAAAGTGAGAATGGAAAAGAGAGGAGATGTATAGTAGCCATCATCACCAGATAAAGAGAGAATAGGTCAAGGGGATGTCAAACAGCCATTGTCACCTACATAACCAATTGCTAAATAAGCAATTGAAGATAGAGATAGAAGATGAGGAAGAGGAGAGAATGCAAGCAGGAGAGACCTATACTTATTTTGTTTGAATATAGGGACCAACTCATCCAATTTGGAGATCTGGATATACATTGTATAATAAATAGCTTGAAAACAACCTCCACATTAAGGAACAAAAAAGAGGGAATTAAATAAATGGACTTAACACTACTTTTATTTGAACCAAATCATCCAATTTAGAGATCAAGAATGCAAATTGCAGATTAAAATAAATGGCCAGAAGGCAACTTCCACATTAAGGAGCAAATAGAGAGATAATATACTACAATAAAATATGATAGCATATAAATATAGGAAAGAAGATGAAGTACAAGGCAAGTTCATCAAATGTATCAAGAAAGATAACTAACACAATGATCGTGATATAGTAAAACTAGAAAAGATTAATTCATAAACTAAAAGCCTAAAACACATCAGTGACAAGCCTTCTCGACTAAAGGGAAATAGTAATGACTAAATATACATTTTCGGCCATCAAATAACAAGGGACTGCTATCTTGCAATTTACTTATAATAGAAGAAATTCAGTATATTAAATTATGGACCTAGGGAGATTTCAAATTCCTAGAGACGTTCCTTTTTAATCTAAAAGGGAAAACCTCAAGACAAGAAAATCTACTTATAAAGGCAAGAAGATATAATTGAACATTATTACAGACCATTCTAGTAGGCGCGATCACTTTTATAACATTTTTTTAAATATGATTTTTGACAATCTGCTTGTAACTAAATCATCATGTAGTTGGCTCAAAAAGAAAATGACAGTTAATTGCCATCATGAACTACTAACACTGCCAAATACCTATATGCAAATATCCAATCTCATTTGCACACATACATTTCTTATCTAGAACTATTGTACAATTGCCTTAAACTTTCCATGCAACAAGATAGCATACAGGTTCTCCACCATATCTAGTCTAGTAAATTTTTTATTTATTTTCATGCATGAGAAGTAAATTAGCTACTCTCTAATGTTATGAAATCCAGTAGCCTAACCAAAGGGTTAATTCTCTTCACTTTGCCCAATTCCATGAAGATAAAACAGGAAATAGTTAGTTTCGCATAAGACGTCAAATGCCATATATAGCATGGATAGCACCATTGCTAGTCTTACAAGTAAAAAAAAAACTTTGAAAGCTCTTGAAGAAAGATATACCATGACTGAATCCTACATGATAGGCCCTTGGAAAAGTCACAACAAATTCACCCGGATGTTGAACTAACCTGAAGAGGAGACCAGAACAAGTTATTGTGTTGTATATTAGCAACCAAATCTGAGCTAAAACTTGAGAAAAACAATTCAAAGTAAATTTTCAACAAGCAGCAAGTCACCTGCAACAAGGAACACCAGATGCAACGAGAACTTCAGGAGACAAAAGGGTTGTCTTCTCACCCAGCATGATAAAAGCAGCTGAAACAAGTAAGGTTCACTACCAGCATGCGTTGAATATATTACAAGGAAAAGCGATTATCAATAAGCTTATTACCTAGCCTATCAACACTTTCACCATAACCGTGGAACCTGACCATCTCCTCCAAAGTGACCGCATGATCCTGAGGAACGGCATACCATGTCTTTGGAGATCCCATGTGAAGGTAATTCATGCTATGTAACTCATGATCCTCCACATGCCAAGCAAACCAACTGAAGAGCATCCCAATATAAACCATGGGAGATGTAACTCCTGGCACATCATCAGGCATAAAGCGTGTTAAGGACCCCGGGGACCGGGCAATCACCTGCAAGTTCCAACGGCTGTTTGATAGCTTCCAACCAGAAGTCCCCTTCATGCCCTCCACATCACTGCCCGATCCCAAACTCTTTTGCGGCTGTCCATTATCGCCGGAACTCATCAACCTGAATCCACATTTCTCTTCATTCACTTTCCCTCTGTGCAATCCTCGCTTCCGATTCCTCCGCCAGGAGATATAGCGAAAAGGTTCCTCTGGCACAGCAAAGCCAGACCCCGGGACATCATTGGCGTACTCAATGTTGATGGGCTTGTCCGTCACGGCCTTCCAGAAGAGGGATTCCACAAGTAAAGGGGTAACCTCCTTAAAACCACCAAGCTGCGAGCGGGCAAAGGCCTTCGATTTTCCCTCGAATTGCTCCAGCGTATACACATCACCGCTCTGCCATACTTGCTTCGGAAGCGCGGGGCGGCCACGCCGGGACCCAAGCTCCTGCTGCCTGGTAGTAAAGACAGCCGCCTCCGACGACGGACCCGCCGAAGCAGCGGCTGCGTCTCCCAGTTCCGGAGACTTGGACAGAGAGCGGTTAAGATTCGAGAGCACAAACTTCTTAGACGGTTTAGGGACCGGCGGTATGACCTTGCAGATGCCGAAAGACGCCGCCTCCCTTTCGATGCGCGAGATGAATGCAATGGGATCCGCAAACTCTGTCTCGGTTGGCCGGTACTCCGGCGCCAGCGGCAGATTCTTCAGCCAGACTGGTATGTCAGCTTCCGTCATTCTAGCAAACGAAATGAGGATTGCCGACACACATGAAAAAGAGAGAGGCTTTAGGGTTTTGGGAAGGTCACTTTGTGAACCCTAGATTCTTCTGAGGACTACATCAACACAGAAAGTAAAAGGCGGCGACGCATCTGTTACCGAAGGTTCGATTTTCGCATATTTATCGTAGTTCTGTATCGATCGAGGGGATCGGCGATGGGAGAGTGATGGGCGATAATATATCGACCAGTTCTTTGCCACAACTGCTCGTTGTTCGAGGCCGACTATCGGATAGCACCAATCGGAGGGAGGAAGCGGACAGATTCTTCGGCCCGCTCAGCCAAACGGCCGAAACCTATCCAAAATCAATTAACCATTATTTCAGTAGGTTATCTACAATGGAGGAATTTATTTTTCACTGTTAAATACAATAAAATATTATATCAAATATCTCTAATTAAATTTTATTAAATTTCATTTATTAACATCAAAATAAAAAATATTTTGTATATATTCTTTTTATTTTTATTTATTTATTTTTAATCATATCTTTATATTTATTAATTTTATGAATTAGATCTATTTATAAATTTTTTTATAAAAAATAAATCTTATTTGACGATGTTGAAATTTAAGAGAGAATTTTATATGATGATGGTGAAACCTGCAATACTTTATGGTGTAAAATGTTGGTCATCAAAAGTGACATAATATTAAGTTTAAGTATTGCAAAGATGAGAATACTCAGGTGAATGAGCAGTTTTACTCTTAGAGGCAGTATACTAAATAAACATATACCTAAAAAAGTTGGAATAACTCCAGTAGAATATAAGATGATGGTTTGATCACATAAAACGACGACCGTATTTGATTTGATTTATGTTAAGAAAGGTAGAGATACACATAAAAAGATTTGATTAAAAAATACTAAAAATGATATTTCTTTATTTGATTTAAATGAGAATGTGACTCTTAAGCGACAAAATAGAGAGAAAGTATGCATGTAGCAGATCCCATGTAGTTGGTTAAAGAATTGATGTTGTTGTTATTATTGTTGTAATCATTTTAGAAATTAGAATAATCTTTTGATTTAAAAAACAATTGCGTTTGTGAACAGTGTGACGCAACTGTTCACGTCACGAGAGTGGAGCAAATTTTCACGTTCAGGTAAAGCAGCTCACATATGGCAAATGTTGGTTTAGCATTAAGTTGAAGATGACCTTAGGGGTCATGCTATGTGATAAAGCTATACTTTCTAATTAAATTTTCTTAAAAATATATTTAATAAAATATAATTATTATATATACATTAATTTAAAAATAAATTAAAAGATTTTAAATTTGGAATTAGAATATGCCACAATTTTTTTTTTATTTTCATATAAACTTAAATTTGACACTATTAATGTTGGGTCACACATTTTGGATGAGAATAGTTGACGGTTGAGTTAGGCAGTTGACATGACATAAATCTTTTATTACATTATTGTTGTTGTTGTTGTTATGGACCCCGCATAGTGGGATAAAAACTTGATATTATTGTTGTTGTATGTAAATTTAAATTTTTCATATTCATAAATCACATTAGTTCCTAACTAATATTGAAGAACAAATGTTATGAATTAATCCAATTTTAGGTTATTTTGTTCTTGCATAGCATCACACTAGTGATAAAGTCTATATATATAGGCATTGTGGGTTGCTATAATAAGAACCCTTGTAAGCCCAAGAGCTATATTGAATAAAGAATGATGCAAGCAAGGAAGCACGAGGGACGTAGGCGAGCGCTTGTGGGGCACAATTCTTACGGTCGAATTCGATATACAAAAAAATGTGGCACGGCTCGTGTACTGACGGATTTATAGGAACAATGCATAAATTCTTGATTAAAGATCAGTTGGATCTTTCAGGTGGGGTCTCCAAGTCCAAACAAGGGCAAATCAGCAAGCACGTCATCAGATTTGATGTGTCAGAGTAGCTGAGACAAAGGCAAGATCAAGAACCTCGCAAAGGCAAACTGGTCGTTGAGCTCAGATTAGATGGGTGGCTCATTTGAAGTCGTATGTTGGAGTGCGCACGGGTGCTTGGGGATGACGGGAGAGCTAAGTATGCTCGATACTAGAGTGCATGCATGTAGACATAGGAGGAATAATAATGTGTACAGACCGTGCGAGCTGGAGCCATGGATCGAAACACACAATGGAGGCCAGGCACGAGCAAGATTGGGCTCAACTTAGCGGGTTTGCTCGTAGAGTTAGTGCATGAAGCATGAAGGCGCAAATTCTTGTGAACAAGTGATTATTTGATATTCATTAAAAAATCTGAATCAAAATGGAGATTGTTATGAATTGATCCAGTTTTTTATCAATTTATTCATGCATGACATCACATTAGTGTTAAAGCCTATATATAAGCATTGCAACGTTGATGTGGTAAGAACCCCTATAAGCCCAAGGGCTATATTGAATAAAGGAATAAAATGATTCCTATAGCCGCTCTCTCTCTCTCTCTCCTTCCTTTTCTTTCATTCCAAAGATCTAAAAAAGCTCCTTCCTCCTATCAAATGTCATAACAAAAAAAAAAAATCAAGAATATTGCTAAATGGAATCGTTAGAAAATTTTGACTAACTTTGATAAAAATTTATTAAATAATTTGTATTAGAATGTTTTAGTACAATTTGTATGAGGATAAAATTGGTACTGTATATAAAAAAATTTTATTGCACTAATCTCAAAATAAATCGGACGATTATTAGTACTCGAAGGCATAGTGAGTCAATTGAAAAACAATCTTTAAAATCTCGTGGGCTGTTTTCCAGCGATTTAAATCTAATGAGTTCCTGATATAAATTGTATCGGATTATTATGATATAATTTTCATTTTAAAAAATTTATATGAAAATTACATCTAAAGTAATTAAATTTATTTTTGAAAAAATGCATAATATAAAATTTAGGGATTTTTACATACATAACACTTAAAAGTTTCTTATTTACTCATCTAACACCTAAAGTTATCTATTTATACCGACACTGGCTTCTTTGCTTGGCAACTCTCCCATCCGGTCTTCCCATTTCTTCGTCTAGGGTTCTCTCTTCGCTCGGCATCTTCGTTTCGTCTTTTACATTTCTCCGTCTACAGAAATTAGACAAAAGACATTTATCCGTCTAGGTTTGAAAAATGTTATCCCCATTTCTCTGTTTAGAGTTCGTTCTTCCGCATTGGTGGTTTCTCAAGTTTTTTTTTGAGAAATATGTAAAAATCTCAGTTTGAAATCTCGGCATCTTTGTTTTGTCTTCTACATTTCTTCTTTGATTGGCAAATCTCAGTTTCGGTATCCGATTCTGTGCAGCACTTCTGTTTCAGTTAATTTAGTTCTTAAGTGAATTGGTAAGAGCACATTGTTGTCAAATTGACATTTTGGATATACTGATGTTTGTTGAATAATTCCTTTTGAACCTTATTGTTCTATGACGACAGCCTATTTATACCAAATCTATAGGTGGATGTGATTTTGATCTTCTAACCGTGACAAAATGGAATGTAAGCAATGCAAAAATGATCTAAAAACTGATGTGTAAAATGATGTAGGTGGAATTAATTGTTTCTAATGATTAAAATCATCTCAAAACTTATGTCTTTTGTCTAATTTCTGTAGAACAAACTGATGTAAAAATATCTGTTGTGCATCAGAATTACAAAAGAGTAGCAATTGTGTGAATAACTGGATTACATAAGCAGAATAATTTCTGTAGAACCATCTGATGTCAAAATCTCTTTGGACGGGAGGTCGAAGACGTCTAAAGCTTTTACCACAACGAGGCTTTCTGGAATGACTAATCGAGGACGATCGGACGGGAGGCCGATTACTGAAGCTCACGCCACACATTGAGCGATTCTACTCCGTCAGGATGTTCGGAAAGTCGTCAAAATCTAAGGAATTTCAAATACGTAAAAAATAAAATAGAATGTGAATTCCAAATACACCTAAATTTTATACTGTATTTATTTTACTTCAAATCAAACACCAATATTTACAAAATCATAGCATTTAAAATATTTTACACCCCTTTTACTTCAAACCGAACAACCCCTAAATACTTTTTCATGCATGTGTTTTTTTAATATATCTATATTATTATAATTTTAATATTTTTATATGTTATCTTAATTGCAAACACTTGTTAATAAATAATATTCATTAAACTTCATTATCAGAGTTTTGTCTGTGTAAAGTGAAGTAGGTGTTTGAAAATGACTGAAAATTAACAGGTTTAAATAAAAAAAAAAACATTTTATTTGAACAATTTTCTCGTTGTTTTGTTTTTCATATCACACTCACCCTTTTATTTGATTATTATTATTATTTTTGTTATTTTCTCATAACTTTGTGAAAATTTTTATAATGGAAAATCGTTTTTTATAACCAAATTTATTAATTTGTGATAGCTGTAAGAAAGCTACTGTCTTAATTTTCGAAGCTTGATTAATTAATTGAGTTCATACTCGAGCTTTATTTTATAAATTTGAGCCAGCTCGTTTATAATGAATGAGAGAAAATTATTATTATTCAACCAATTATTATAATAAAAAGGTAAAAATAATAAGAAATTAGAAAAAAAATAAAAAAGAATCATCAAGAAAGTGAGTTTGTCTTTTAAAATAATGAATGCTAATATATTTTAAGTGAATCGGTTCTCGAGCTAACAAGTCGAGTCAGAGCTGGTTCAAGCTAGACTTGTTTGATCTTCGAGCTCGGCTCACAAGCCACTTATCGAGTTGAGCTCGTACCAGCTTACGAGTCGACTAGACTCACTTACTTCCCTATTTGAGATCTTCTTAATACACAGAAAAATTATTAGAAAGGGCTGATTTAACTCACTATGGCTTTTGGAGCTTGTTGTTCTCACTGAATTGGCCTTTAGCCTTCTCTTTCTGGGGAGTATTTGGATCCCTTTGTGATGGTTATTCTCTGCTCTCGCTCATCTGCTCTTTTGACTTTGTTTATTGCGGCTATGCAATGAGTTTTTTTGGCCTCTAAGCTATTGATGAAATTCTAGCCCAATCCAAGTGTGGTTGTCTTAGGCTTCGTTTGGAATAACTTTATTTTCTGCTTCTTGAAGCAGCTTTTTAGTATAAAAAATTAAATTTTTATACTAAAAGGTTACTTTATGAAGCAGTAAGAAAGTTGTAGCAAACGATACCTTAATTTTGATAATACATTTGCATATTTTACCGTTCTTCTCCCAATTGTGAAAGGAACAATAGCAATAGTCAACATGCACTATAGTAAAAAGTAGTTTCGCCATCACTTAGGCTTCGTTTGGGATGGCTTTCTTACAGCTTCTTAAAGCAACTTTTTAATACAAAAATTT